CCGCCCCTACCTGTTAATGCAGCGAAGCTACAGAGATAGTGAGGGTTTTTTTTTTCTTTGGATTGATCACGGCTTCCACTCGACTCTTCGCAGATAGCTCTCCCAGACCAAACACTGCCTATGGCGGCGTGCCTGTGGTTAGCTGTGTTGGAATATTATACTTGTAAGCAATTATAAACGGGGCAACAGAGCTTCCGTTTCATGACTTAACTCGCACTGCTTTATGTGTCAGTACTCCCTCAAACGGTGGATCCTGCTAACATTCACTTTCTTCCAAGGTCAGCTCGGTAGACTCGATTGCCTTGTCGAGGAAGAATAGGTCTTTCTCGGCATAGCGCGTGTTAGGGAAATTGTATCCATTTTTTAACACGACAAGGCTGGCAAAGGAACTGCCTGCCCGTACGCGCATTTCAAGCTGATTTTTAAAATCAACTGTTTATGCTCTTTAAAATCAACAGTGTGTAATTGTCCAGCCGCGTTTCGCCCACAAAATGTACAGTCAATTCACGTTACCGTATATCCTGTGAAGCGCTTTGAGACATCCCAACGACATGATAAGGCGCTATATCAAATCCAAGGATTATTATGGCACGGAAACTGTGCAGCACAAGTAGTCTGGCATTTATATTCTACATGAGCCTCTTCCCTTCCCTAATCCCTGCTCCCCATCCTCTCTATTCCCTTCTGACCAGTTTGCAGTTGGTTGGGGTACGCAGGTTTAGAAAATGTCTCATCTTCCTCTCTGACTTTACTGGAATTCTCAGACTTGCAGTTCACGTCAGCAGATTCGTTACAAAGAACAGAAAAAACAAATGATCAAAGTGAAGCAAGAGTGTGCATAGCATAAGGCGATTACAAAACCTGGAAGAAGAGCAATGTGTGATGTGCCCCTTAGAAAAATAATGAAAAATGCAGCACCGAAGCAGACCATTTAGCCAATGCCTGTGACATGTTAGCTCCCCCCAGTGGAGCTATCGATTCTTATCCCGATTTCCCTACTTTCCTTACACCTATTCATGTTTCTTCTTTGGTAACTTGGGCACTGAAATAACAATGACGATACATTTGAACAATTGCCAAATCACGAGGCTGATTGAATAATACTTATCGTAGTAATAATAACCTTACGTTTGATATAGCGCCTTATCGCATCGTTGAGGTGTCTCAAAGCGCTTCACAGAATATATTGTAAAGTGGATTGATATTAAGAAGGATATCAGTCCAATAGAGAAATTGTCGAACAGTTGTCAGATTTAATTATTGCTGATAAAGTTCTTTTTAAAAATGTAATGGTTGTATTTGATAAGCGCTCTGGGACCTACCCCGCGTGAAGGGCACTATGTAAATGCAAGTTGTTGTTCATATAACAGCTATCACTTTGAGACATTGTGTTTCAGAGAATTTTCTGTTAAGTATAGTGACTGTGTCGTTTTTGAATGTGAACGTGGTAGCCAATTTATGTGCAGCAATATTCCACAAACAGCCATGAAGTAAATGAGTAAATTTAATCTGGAGGATTGTTAACCAGGAGAAACTCCCTTTTCTTGTTAAGAACTCACCAATTTCTTGCAATTTGACTCATTTGCCCAGTGTGATTTTCCCCATAAGGAAAATCCTCTCCACTGTATCAATCATTATGTTTATCCATAAATAAACTCTTGTTAGTATTTGGCTCTGTGCACATATGTGCTCTTGGCAATATGTGATACAGTGACAGCAGTTTAGTGGATAGACGAAACAAAGTTCAAAACAGTATAATGAAACTTTATTGAAAGAAACTGAAGCAATGGAAATCATTACTTACATACTGTATTCCATTAATATATCTGTTCCTAATACAGCGTACCACAGTAGCTGCTTAACTCCAATCAATACCATTCTTAGGAAACGATGAAGAAGCAGATATAACAGTTTAGAATTCATTATACGTATTAACGGTAAAGGAAAGAAATCTGGATTACGAAGCTCAGTAACTGGTGAAAGCATTGCGGTCTCACTATAGTGCTGTACTTCGCTATCACAAAAATTGTGATCAATTGCAGCACATCCTCAGGATAAATAATAGTTGCTCATTTGATAGTATTCTTCCCTCCGGTTAGAAGTTTGTGGGTTCCAGCCCCACGTTGGGATTTTGAACTTTTACACAGGTTAACACTCTCAGTACCGCGCAGGGCACTGCTGCATTGTCGGAGGTGCTGTCCTTTGGGTTAAATGTTAAACCAAGGTCCCGTCTTGCCTATTCAGGTGAATGCTAAATATCCCATGGCGCTATTCGAAAAGAGAAGGGAGTTTCTCCCAGAGTCTGAGCCAACAATTCCCCAGATAGAATTGGTCATTCACTGTTTAAGGGACTTGGCTGTTGCATTTGCCTATAAATACAGTCACTACATTTTGCAGTAAATCTTATGAAGCACATTGAGGCATCTTCCAAGATGAATCAAATCCAATAAATGCAAGGTGATTGTTATTAACTTGCATTACAGGTTGAAAGCTTTTGCTCAGAGGTACCCTGGAAATGGATTAACAACAACAAATTCCATTTATATAGCACCCTTTATGTCGGGAGATTAAAAGCGCTGGACAAAGAGGGGTTTGCTACCTCCTGACATGAAAGGCGCTATACAAATATAATTTGTTGTTGTCGTTTGCACCTTAGCTGCGGGTTGGGATCAGAGAGGGGTGGAGGGCAAAGGGCGTTAATATTATTATATAAATTATTAATAAGTTAATAGTGCTGTTGCAGCATACCATAGAATGACCAGTTCATTAACGTAAAGTGGAATTGTGTAAAGTCATTGCATATATGCAAAGGCTTTTGATCGGGTTTCATCCAATGCAATCACAGCAGCAGCATTCAGGCAAAACCATGAGCTCATTAATAGTTAACAGAGGTAGAAGAGCAGAGCAGGAGACTGAATCAAAGCTCATATTCCCCATTTATGTTGTGTTTCCCTTCAGAGACCAGAGCTTCCATCCATGCTAATGAACTAGGTGGGGTCTAGTTGCATGCGGGTGACTGTCTGTCATCACATCCTCAGCTGTAGCAACCTCAGCAATATCCCCGTTCACACCATCTGAGAGGAGACGGTGGCTGCTGCTATCTGCTTTAAACTTCTGTAGGTGGCATGTTGTCTGCGGGAGAGCCACTTGTTGGTTTGTTGCAGTTGTGGCTTTCAGTCATCCTTGTGCGGCATCACTTGTGCTCAGCAAAGAAGCTTTCAGTGACACCTGATTCACAGCCATCAGCACATAGAAAGGTCAGTCCCGAGACACTGCCACTGCATGGCGAACAGCCAGTGACCTCTGCTACCACCTGAGTTTGGTAGGGCAATAGGTACCACCATGCACCCAAAATGTTGAACTTATTCCAAATAGGGCAGGATAAAACCTTAGGCAAGTTTCCTTACTCCACACGCCTCTGTTTATCTAGCAGTAAGTAAGAACCCGGGTGTCAGTCGATTGGCGGATCACTTTCTGGGGATAATATTCCCCCCCAGCCCCCCATCCATGACTGTTTGTGGGACACTGCTGTGAGCAATTCGCTGCTGTGTTTCGCCCACAAAATATACAACGACAAAAAAATACAGTCAATCTACTTCACGGTATATTTTGTGCAGAATTTTGAGAAGTCCCAATGACGTGATAAGGCGCTCTATGAAATGCAAAGATTATTATATAGTTGTGTTAGCCAAAATTGGACACTCGTAGCATGGGAGCAGCTCAGAGTATTTGAACCAAGTCTGATACAGTACTCTGCATTCTTGCCAATCATGCGCTTCCACTTGCAACAGTTATTGAGTATTGCCCCTCAATAAGTCCTTTCCGACTACAGTAAAATCTTTACCAGTTTTTTTAAAAAAAGTAGATCCTTTATGACCAAGGAACAGAAATGTGCTGTGGAAAATGAGCGCAAGCATTCTGTTAGCATTTTTAAAAAGTAATAATAATAATCCTTGCATTTGTTATTGCACCCTATCACGCCTTCGAGACGTTTCAAAGCACTTCACAGAGTATACTGTAAAGTGAATTGACTGTATTTTTGTGGGTGAAATACGACAGACAATTAATTGCACAGCAGTCACACAAACAGTTGTAGCCGAATTTTTTAAAAAAATTATATTTTGAAGGGATTATTACCCCTGGAAAAGCTATCTGCCAATCAACTAACAACCGGGTCTCTGCTTACTGCTAGGAAATAGGGGCGTGTGGAGTAAGGAAGCTTGCTCTAACCAATACGCTACAGAACTCCACAATATTTGTAACATTGACGCCCCTTCTGTGCCTACCTTCACTAACTTGACTTTTTGCAGAAAATTAAAAACAAATACTAAGAAATCTGAAATAATGCCCCTCATTCAAATTCCATTGCTTGAGGTTTCTTGGGTCCACAAAATCCAGTTAATCTAGAACTGGTGCGATGGGGGTACGGAGTTTAGTACTCACCCGTACCCCCATCACACCAGTTCTAGCCAGGCTCCACTGGCTCCCTATCACCGAACAGATCGATTTCAAGATCTTTACATTCGTTTTCAAATCCCTTCATGCCCTGGCACCTCCCTACCTCTCCTACCTGCTTACTGTCCAACCCACTGGCTCCAGCCTCCTGCTTGTCCCTTGAACCCTCCAATTCCATCATCGGTAGCCATGCTTTCAGCCACTACAACCCGAAACTCTGTAACACTCCTCCTCTATCCCTCAGCCTTGCCCGTTTTTCCCCATCTTCAGGTCATGTCTAAAGACCTTCCTCTTCGACCCTTGCCTAGAGTCACCTCCTCCCTGCTCGGAGTCATGCTCTGTCACTGTCAAGTGCTCTGGGACGCTACCCTGCATGAGGGAGGGGTGCTGTAGAAATGCAAGTTGTTGTTGTTTGATTGTCCTCTGCAAAGAAGACGGACCTTAGTTGATTGACTAAATCAAGCAGATCTCTTTTTTTTGCCCCTAAGATTATCAGATACTGAGAAAAGTAACCAAGGCTCTTTTTCTTTTGTACTCCAGGTCCTGTCCATCAGATGCCTTTGAATGCAAGCGCAATCGACTTCTTTCAACTGTTTGTCCCCGATAACGTTGTCAGAAACATGGTGGTTCAAACCAACATGTACGCCAAGAAGTATCAAGAGAGGTTTGGGAACGACGAAGGTTGGAGTGATGCTACTCTTCCAGAAATGAAAGCGTTTTTGGGATATGTGATCTCCACTAGCATTCACCACTGTGAGTCTGTCCTCAGCATCTGGAGCGGTGGCTTTTATAGCAACAAGAGCATCGCTTTGATGATGACGCAAACCAGATTTGAAAAGATCCTGAAATACTTCCATATTGTAGCATTTCGCTCTAGCCACACAGCCCACGGGCTCTATAAAATTCAGCCTTTTTTGGACTGCCTCCAAAAGGCATTTGATACCGATTTCAGGCCTTCCCAAACGCAGGTATTATTATATCCATATGCATAGTAACATTTATGTCTTGTCAAGTAAGTAAGTCACCCTTTCCCTATATGAATTACTTGATTCCTTAGAATGCTGTACAATTATATTTGTGCTTCCCCCATCCTGTCATTCGTAATGTGAGCAAAAGCTTATTTGCTTTTCATTTGAACCAGTGAATTATGTTTACTTTATGCATGTGATGTGTGTTTTGTGCGGAAGGGCAGTGATGAATCGTCTTTGATTGCTTGAGCTAGAGGAGTGATAAACTGCTCAAATTTAACGTCAGCCTTACAATGGAGAAATTACAAATGAGACTTGACTTTAGGAAGGTGGATTTTGAGGGAATAAGTAGGAACTGAGAAAACTGCACTGACGCTTATTGTTGATAGGGGAGAAAAAGTAGAATGCATTCGCAGAATACAAAGTAACTGTACACCACTTGCAAAAGAAGGCGTGGGCAACAATGATTGTGGTAATAAGGACAACAAAAAGCTTTCCTTCCATTGGCATCAACTTGGCTCTGTTCGTTGCACTCTCACCTCTGAGTCAGCTCCTGTTAACCCTGCAAGCCAAAGCCCTAACGTGTAGGTTGGTCCCAGCTGGAAAAACAGCAGGAAAACTTGCCAGACAGTGCTCTCAATGGCAAGCTATGCGGTTTTAGTTGGTTAGACTCCAGCTGTCCTTCAGACGATATGGTAAACATAGGGCCTGTCTGGCTGTTCAGACAAACGTTAAAGATCCCCTGGCAGTACTGGTAAAGACGAGAGTTTCTCCCAGTCTTCTGGTCAACAGTCCCCCAAATAAAATTGGTCACTCACTTCATGCCTGTGTGTGGGATATTGCTGTGGGCAAATTTTGTTGCTGGGTTTGCCTACAAAATACACAGTCACAGTAAAAATCCTGTGAAGCACTTTGAAATAGTTCATTGGTATGATAAGGTGCTATGTCAAATGCAAAGATTATTGATATAAATCTACAGATAGAACAGAGACCGATCAGGTATTTTGTGTTACTCCGTGAAAGTGGATGCAATGAATTAATATAAAGCAATCTGTCATCCCTACGTCATTTTAATGTCTCCTTGGGATCCATTGGGAACCATTTGCTTGCTTCAAGTATATCTATCAAAGCCTTTTATACTGTTTTATATTCTCTTAAAAGTTATAACCAATCTTGTATTCAATTTTAAGCTGTGTTGACGGATCTCTTCAATCTTAAATTCCTCTCGTCCTCTGTCCCTAGTACACTTCATGTGCGTTTATCACTTATAATAATAATAATAATTCTTGCATTTTATATAGCGGCTTATCACGTTGATACGTCTCAATGCGTTTCATAGGATTCACTGTAAAGGGTAGTAACTATTCGTAAAGGAATTAATATAGCTCTATATCTCATTTCTTGTCGGCTGTCACTGCACATTCCTGTACGGCAGTGGGTAATGCTGATTAATAAACTCATAGGCGATTCAAGCATAAATCTTGGAGGATAAGTCAACATCGTTAAAACTTACAAGTGCAAGTACTTGAACATACATAAGAGCAACAAAGGAAGTTAATGGATCAACAGGGAGATGAGGAGGAAAGCAAGATTTATAGAGTTGTAAAGAGATGGAAACCATTAGACTGAGTACAAAACCAAACAGAAGGAGGATGAAGAGAGAAATAAGAGAACATCAGTGTAACTATTCATGAATAAAGCAGTCAATACAAAGCAAAATGCCAAAAGAGTCTTCCAATTTATTCCGTCTCTCTCTTCCTGTATACCTTATGTTTCTTTCCTGCTCTAATGCCTCTCTAGCTCTCTTCTGGATAATTTTATTGATCCAGCCTCGCAAGACGCTCGCGGAAATGAATTCTGAACCCTAACAAACCTGATACCAATCTTACGCACAAATTAGAGAGTTGGAATGCTTTTTATTTGAGAGGGGGTTGGTGGGGTGGGGGGCATCGGACGGATGTCAGACAATGCAAATGTGGAGTCCCGTAGCATAGTGGTCAGCGCGCTCACCTCGCAAGCCAGAGTACCTGTGTGGGGTGCATTGGCTGCCAAGTTTAGCCCACAAAATACATAGTCAATTCACTTTACAATATATTCTGCAAAGCGCTTTGAGATGTTTACATATGATGTATAGTTAAATAATATTATTGAGTATTTTTTTAAAAAACAAGAGGAAAGGTTTTAGAAGAATCGTAGCAATTGTCCGCTGATAATCTGAACTTTTCTCTGCACGTTTTAGGTGCTACATGAACCCTTGATTGACGAGGATCCACTCTTCATTGCAACATGTACAGACCGTGAATTACGTAAAAAGAAAAAACGGAAATTTAGCCTGTGGGTCAGGCAATGTGCAGCAACAGGATACATCTGCCAGGTGACGTTTTGAAAGCTCACTTTGTGTCTCACGTCTCAAAAGTCACGTCTATTCCAAAGCACTGCACAGAATGTATTGACTGTATATTGTGGACAAAATACTATTGTAATGGAATTAAAGGGGGTGGTCAGGATGGGGGTGGGATTACAACCCCGAATCCAATTGATGTCTTCAGTTACCTACAGGGTGAAATTATCAAGGATGGATCAAGTTTGCAGTTTTAACCCCAATATGTGAAATAGAGCTTTGAGGGTTTGAAATTGTGTAGTGAAAGACTCCTACAGTTTTAAGTATAATTGAATTTGTGCACTGCACTGCCTCTCCATTGCAGGAAGGGTATCCAAGAGAGAACAAATTCACCAAGATTGACACTAGGGATGAGACAAATTCCTGTGGAGTCCTGTAGTGTATCAGTTAGAGCGAGGACCCTGTTCGATTCCCGGTCAGGGCGAAACCATAGGCAAGTTTCCTTGCTCCACAAGCCTCTGTTTACCCAGCAGTAAGTAGGAACCTGGTTGTTAGTCGATTGGCAGAACGCTTTCTGGGGGTTAATAATCCTTTTTCAAAAAAATAACAATAATTTGGTCACTCAATCTACGACTGTTTATGGATACAGTCAATTTACTTAACAGTATATTCTGTCAAGCGCTTTGAACATTTGTGTTTTCTCTACTCCAGTTTATCTTGTGAACCCGAGCATGACACATAGACAGTCAGTCACACAGGCCAGAATCCGAGAGGAAATTGGAAATGGCAGAATTGTTGTAGGTAGGACGTCCTCCCGATGTGAAAGGCGCTATATCAATATAATTTTGTTTTTGTTATAGACAGCCAAGTTGAGACAACATAAGCAAGTCCACCCACAGAGGTTCTGATGAGACCTTGTTCGCATCGGAACACAGCTAAATTTGTACCTCTGAGAAACCCAGAGTGAAATCCAAGCAGAAGTAGAAACAAAAGCTCATTATTTAACAACAATGTGAATTTATATACCAAAGTCAGTCACTCACTTCTTGATCGCTCACATTTTCCTAGTCTACCTTATGTGAGAGGGGATGATTGTTGTTAAAAGAGAATATGGATGTTTAAAGAGCAAGAAAAAGAGAGCGAGAAAGGCAAAGAGAGCAAGGGAGCTAAATGCAGAGAGAAGAGCAGTGCATGTGTTTGAAGAGAGAAAGTATGCATTTTAGAGACAGAGATGTTGCGAATCTCTTTGAGACGTCTCAACGACATGATAAGGCACTATATCAAATGCACGGATTATTATTACTATTGTTATTATTCATGAAATCTCTTCATTAATAATCCTTGCATTTCGAAATAAGGCCTACAAACAGCAAATCATCTCAGAGTCCTTCAGAGGGAATTATTTTCAAGTATAGTGACGATTTGCATGCAGCAACGTCTCACAAACAACCATGAAGTAAGTGACCGATTTTATCTGGAGGATTGTTAGCAAGGAGAGAAACTACTCCTTTTCGAAATGTGTCCTCAACAGGCAGCAGATCCCTCACTTTATTGTTTCATCTAAAGGATGACCATCTCCATTCAAGCCCCATATCAGTACTTTGAGCTCACAGTCCAGGCTGACACTCAAGCACATTATGGGGGAGAGGAAGAGCCCTGAATTGTCAGAGGGTTGTCCTTTAGATGACACATAAAGTCTAAATCGAGGTTCCCGTCTACTTATTCAGGTGGATGTTGAAGATGCCGTGACACTACAGGCAATTGGTAAGGGAAGCACTGTCACAAATTGAGGCGGCATAGCGGGCATGTTTATTTGTAGTATGCAAAATGCAATGTAAATTTCTTATTGTGGCAATACAAAAGGAATAAAAAAGAACCTGCTTTAAAAACTTGTGAAAACAGTCAGCAGGTTGTGGGTTCAAGCCCCGCATCGGGACTTTGAACTCATATAGTCTAGGCTGACTGTCCAATCTAGTGCTGTGGGGTGTGATGTACTGTTGGAGGTGCTATCCTTTGGATAAAATTTTCAAACTGTTCGACTATTGAAGTGGAAGTTGAAGATCCCATGGCACTATTCGAAAGGGAGTTTTTCCGGGTGTCCTAGATGGCAATCCCCCCTGCACCACCCAAATAAAATTGGTCAATTATTTCATAGCCATTTGTGGGACATTGCTGCGCACAAATTAGCTGCCGTATTTGCTCACAAAATATAGTCACTACACTTTACAGTATAGCCTGTGAAACATTTTGCGACACCCTCCCAAAGTGGAAGGTACTATATCAAATGCAAGGACACAAAATGTAAGTTTATTACTGTTCAGTGAAACATTTTAATCGTCTCTTACATTCTCTGCCTCTACGTTCAGATTTCTGTTCACTTGAAGGAAGCGATTGGCTCTGATGGGCTGGACACTCTGAAGAACAGGCCACAGCTCCACAGTCTGGTGGCTAAAAGTCTTTGTCAGAATTTGACTGCAAAAAACAACATTATCTTTACTGGACCCAGCATTACCAGCCTCAATCTTTTTGAAGAGTTTGAGAAAAGAGGTTTGTAACTCAGATTATATTCTGCAATTAGGTGCTGTATAATAATTGGAGATAATAACGTCGCATGGATTGCCATAATAATAATACTTGCTTTTGATATGTAGCGCCTTATCTCCTCCTGAGTGTTATACTTTGTCCTTCTGACTTTACACCCTTTGTTTTATATACTCCTGTTCCACATATGTGTTTTTGATGTAGTCGATTAATGTTCATTTTGTTGCTCCTTCAGCCTTCTCCAATCTCGTGGAGACCCGTGGCGTAGTGGTTAGCACACTCACCTCACAAGAGAGAGGACCTGGGTTCGATTCCCGGGCAGACCAAAACCTTAGGCAAGTTTCCTCTGTTTATCTAGCAGAAAGTAGGAACATGGTTGATAGTTGATTGGCAGATCGCTTTCCGGGGGTAACGATTCCTCAAAAAAAAATTCACGCAACCCACGACTGTTTTGTGGGATACTGTTGTGTGGAATTGGTTGCCGTGTTTCAGCCACAAATACACCGTCAATCCACTTTACAATGTTCTGTGAAGCGCTTTGACGCATCTCAAAGCATGATAAAGTGCTATATCAATTAGGATTATTATCAGATAATTACATCATCATTAAGCACCTCCAGATTAATTGCTCATTTCATGGCTGTGTGTGTGACCTTGCTGGTGCAAGTAGCTATTACTACCTTTGCCTAGAAGCAGTTACTGCATATTTGCTTGTGAAATAAACAAGTTTGTTCTTTCTTTAATTAGTCAACATTTTCAATGTATCCAGATGGCTCTATATTTGTATCTGGTCTCCTGACTGTATCTGTGTAGCAGTAATTAATTCTGACTTTGAATCTCTCTGTCTTTGCAGGGATTTATTGCTGTGGTCTTTTGAGCTCCAGGAAAAGTGACTGTACAGGATTGCCGCAGTCTTTGCTAGCCAACCCTGAGGTTCCACAGGCTCGCGGTCAATATAGAGTGAAAATGAAAGGAAACATGTCCTTAATCAACTGGTCCAATAAAGGACAGTTCTGCTTTCTCACAAATGCCTACTCTCCACTCAAAGAAGGTACGTACTCAGGTAGCACTGCGTCTTGGAATCAAAACCGTGGGAAAAGATTAAGGAAGTTAATCTTTAATTTCTGGAGAGGCTAGAGAAGATGGAATTGTGCTCCTTAGGGCAGAGAAAGTTATGGGGAGATTTAATAGAGGTGTTCAAAACTTCTGAGGGGATTTGATAGAGTAAATGAGGATAAACTGTTTCCACTAGTGGGTGGGTTGGCAACCAGAGGACACAGATTTAAGATAATTGGCAAAAGAATCAGAGCGGAGATAAGGAGATTTTTTTTTTTACATAGCAAGTTATTACGATCTGGAATGTACTGCTGAAAGGGTGGTGAAAGTAGATGCATTAATCCCTTTCAAAAGGGAATTGGATATATACTTGAAAAGGAAAAATTTGCAAGGTTATACAACAACTTGCACTTATATATCACCCTCCACTCCAGGTAGCATCTCAGAACGCTTTGGGCAAAGAGCAGGCGGGATGGGACTAATTGGTAGCTCTTTCAACGAGCCAGCACAGGCACGGTGGGCCGATTGGCTTGTGCTCCAAAAAAAAAAGAAAAAAATGTAGTTGCTTGTTTTCTCCTCTTTGAGTTAGAAACAGGAGAAATTAAGCTGGGAGCTTTTTGACAAAAGGTAATGGATGTGTGGAATAATTTATCAGAGAAAGCCTCTGAGGTAAAGATTGTAAGTTGTCTCAAGAGGCAATTTAGCTGCAAACATGGATTTCGAATCATAAAATGTTACAGCACGGCAGCTGGTTATTTGTCAATCAAGTCTGCACTGGTGTTTTTCTGTATGTTAACCACCTCACCTGATCTTGCTTTCCTGCTCACTCCACTATAACCTTTAGTACTGCACCACTGAATAGCTATCTGATTTCCTTTTGAATAATACATGGACTCTGCTTTAACAATAGCAAAGAATGTCACGTTTTTACACTTTCCTCTACCCTTCCTAAATATCTTGCTATATTCCTTGTAAACGCCAATGTTGTATCTTTTTAATTTCAAATGAATCGAATCTCCCTGTTTATCCCAAGAACTCCAGAATCTGACATACTCTTCCTACTGGAATAGACTTAATTTGCATGCACCCTTTCCTTCTGCCGGTTACATATTTCAGGTCACTGATCTATATTTACATTGCAATATAGATATACATTATAAAGCACCTTTCACATCGAGAGGGCAACCCGAGGCACCTAACAATCCTGCCTTGGCATCCAAACTGTAGGCGAGAGTTCAGGGGATGGGGAGGGGAAAATGACCGAAAGCTCAGCCAAAGAGACAGTCTTGAGATGGACGTTGAGATTTCTATTTATCAGGATTTCATTCCAGTTGACCTGGGCAAGGTTCCTTTTTTTAAGATCAGTGCAATTTTCTTTGTTTCCTGCCAAATAAACTTTTGCTGGGTTTGCCTTTTCTGTTGTTGCCTTGGACCTGATTAAATTGTAGTCACTTTTCACAAACATACGTTCAGGTCATCTTGTTCTGCTTCATGACCCCAAAACAAGCTCAAATGGTGCATCCTTCATTGCTAGAGGAGCCGTGTATTGATGACAATACCCATCCTCTTTCCTACCACAAACATACCCCTTTTCCCAGTTTATTTATTTTGCAGAATTAGATCTTAAGGAATAAGATGAGAAGGCATGCAATTTGGGTTTAAGGACTACTGAAAACAGTCATCCAACAAATGAACTTAGTTTTTAGCTAGCTCAGTTTTTTCTTAGATTGTTTCCACGTCAATATTCTGCAGTATTAAACTCTCTCGTATGTCCCTTATGTGTGTCAGCCACCGGCCCAAATTGGTCACTCATTTCACTGGCTGTTGTTGCTCCGTGGATGCAAACTAGCTTGTGCTTTTGCCTAGAAATACGCAGTTGCTACACAAAACAGTAGCTCCTGTGCAGTGCTTTGAGGCGTCTCGACGACGTGATATGGCATAGTATCAAAAGCAAGAATTATCGTATTTGAGCGTTCCATACCTGTTAAAAACAATTCCTTGCCTAAACTTTGGTCCTGACGAGGAGATCAATACAAGTTGTGATTTTCGTTAATAACGGTCCTTTTTTTTATATAGGAACCATAATCCGAAGGCGGAGCGGGGAAATTTCTTGTCCCCTAGCTGTGGAGGCGTTTGCTGCGCACCTTGGCTACATTTGCAAATATGACGATAAGTACAGCAAGTAAGTGACTGTGGAGGTACCCCACAGGCAGACATGTGGCCACTGTATGAATTCAGTCAAAGTACAGTTCAGACTCAGTTTGCTCTCCTTCCTCACAGGGCAAAAGCCTATTTTTGATGCAGCTGCTGAATTCAATGTCAGACGATAAAATTCAATCCCGTGGCATGAGCTGTAAAACTATTCTGTTCATTTCTTATTGAGCTTTGCCATAAAATCAATTCCTTTAATAGGAATTCCCCCTCCCACCACCTTCTCTTCCTATACTCATGTCCACCTTCCCTCACGCTTCTCTGCCTTCCTTGGCCAACCACCCGCCCCCTCCTCCCCCCTCAGATGACAAGCTCGTTGTGCGTGTGCGGAAGTGAAACTTTGCCTGAAGTAGAACCAGAGGACACAGTCAGTAATTGAAAGGGGGTAAATTCAAAACAAATCTGCAGAAACACTATTTCAGTGAACGAGTGGGTAAATGTTTGGAACAGGCTGCCAAGGGCGACAGTGGAAGCAAAAAGCGTTGGTTCTTTCAAAAGCAAATTGGATAGATTTCTGTTAGGAAATAATATCATGGGATACAATATATAGTTTGGGATATGACACGTGCATGTGACTGCCTGGATGGAGGAAGGCAAACTGGATGGATATTGGTCTTCTTTTGTTTAACAATTCTTACGTTCTTATATTCTTAAGCTGAGGCACTGATATGTGTGCCTGTGTGCACGCGCATATAGAAACATAGAAACAGGAGTAGGCTATTCAGCCCCTCGAGCCTCTTCCCCCATTTTATAAGATCATGTTTGATCTGTAACTCAAATCCAATTACCTGCCCTGACCCCATATCCCTTGATACCCTGACCTAACAAATATATATCTACCTCGTCTTGAAAATGTGGTATGTGTGTATGCGTGTATGTATGTCATGAGAGCTGATCACAGGAAAATTTACTTTGAAATAACCTTGAGAAAAAAAGGTGAATTCTCAGCCATTTGTGTAGCAAGAAGAGGAAAAGGTGGTTTCCCAGAATAGACATCTTGTTTTACAGTGCCTGCCCATTCTCTGTCTGTCTGTGTGTGTGTGTGTGTCCGGCTCCCTTTCTGACTGTCTGACTTTCTGTCTAATTCTCTCTCCCTTACTCTCTTGTGTGTGTGTGCGTTATTCACTGTAACACATGGTCACTACACTTCACAATATATCCTGTGAAGCGCTTTGAGATGTCTCAACGGCATGATTAGGCGCTATGTCAAATGCAAGATTATTATTATATCAACTTTCTCTTTCTCTGAAATTCCCCTCTTCTCATCTCCCAGGTACTTTATATCTCACAAGCCGAACAAGACCTGGCAACAAGTGTTTTGGTTTGTCGTCAGCATCGCTGTAAATAATGCCTACATCCTGTACAAGATGTCAGAGGCGTACCTGGTGAGGCGCTACAGCCGAGTACAGTTTGGCGAAAGACTTGTCAGAGAATTGCTGGGGCTGGACGAGTAAAAGAAAGACGTTACTGGCAGCCGGCGACTGAGACATCACCACTGCATTTACAGGGCCACATGCCACTTCTCACCTTCGTGTCAATCTTATTTGCCGTTGCTCAGCTTCTCACTTCTAATTTGCAGCAAGCGTGATTGTTATACTAGCGACTGTGCTCCGATTATATTATACAGGAGAGCCACACAAGCTGATTGTTTTACAAAGGCCACGTGTCATTCCACATGTAATCTGGGCACTTGCTATTGCAACACTCGGGAAGGGGTTGGGCTCATGATTAGTTGGTGGCAGTAACTAAAGATTTTTTTAGTTGTGGCAAGCTGTCATTTTGAGATTTTTAACGTGGAGCACTTCATTAAACTGGGTCAGTTACAACTCATGATTAGTTGCTGGCGGGAATTAAAGGGATGATGATGTAGAAGGTTTTTAAGTTGTGGACTAAATTTTGTTTTTTTTTAAATACTTGGGGAAAATGCAGGTACTGTTCTCACACTTTTTATATATAAGCTTTGTGCACATGTCAAAACTGCTCGGGAGAATTCCATATTGTTTTTAAACAAAATGGCCGACAATACTTTAAAGAGGGGATTGTGTTCTGCACCACAGTGTCTTCAGACATCAGGACATCAGGCATTCACCTCGGCTTAGCTTCACATACACTTTGTGTCTTGAATTTTCTGAATAATTTGGTGGAAATTCTGGAGTTCAGAAAACCAAACTTTTTCAAATTCAGACCGAATTTCAGAAATCCTCCACAATCCTTACACCATCTTAAATCTTCAGATTGAAAGTGTGATACAGGCTAAGATGAGGTGGAATTGCGGATCTCCAATGCAAAATTCCCTTATAGTGTCATTTAACAGAGCTGTTTTAGATATTGACAGTGACAAATATTATTGTGCATTCCGAATGTTTACATTGAATTACTGTTGTGTTCTGAATTCAGTTTACAGACAGTTAGAAAGTACTGCAACCAACTTGATCTTTGAATTTTTAATTTACTGACTATGACTAGATACTTTAAAGTTTCTGTAGAACACTGAAATGCCACATTTAATACCTGGAGCTGGAGGTGGGATTTAAAACGATGGGATCATGAGACATTCATTCCTAGGACCTAAATAATAGCAAAGTTTTAAGCACAGAGGCATTCATACCCACCCTTCAATGGGTGAACTGTAATAGCTCTCAGCTGGGCTGCTGGATGGAGCATTTTGTGAACGTGGAGTAAACCATCGTTTTGTTGAATCAAACCAACAAGACAAGTCCTGCCTCTCAGAGCTGAACCTCTCCAGGTCAGGTCATACAGGGTTATATACACATGAGGGAGGGATGGAGAGGGGGAATGTCTGTGTCATCTGAATCTTCTGTCCTTGTACCAAGAGGAATGATTGTCCCGCTGATGAACTTCAAGGGAGAAAAAGGGTATTTTTAATTAAAGCTATATCCAGCTCTAAAATTTTGGACTCAGTCCAAAACCAACACGCGGAGCGAATCAGTTCATGTGGGTCCACTTTCTGTTTCTTATGAAATCTTTGTTGATTTTCATAAAAACAATGTATGTGTCTCAATAGAAGTGCCCTGAATATTAAAATACTGTAGTATTTAAAGTCCAAGATGTGTGTTACAATAAAGGAAATGTGCCCCAAAGTGTCAATTTACACTTGTGAATGCGGGAAATGTGTATATTAAAATCTCAAAATATGGTTCTTTACTCTCAAGTGTGGTTATTTTGAAAGTAACTACTGTAGGTTTAGTGGTAACAATATGACCGTTCACATACAAGGTTCTGAAAATTCTTGCAAGTGGCACAAATTGAGTGCGTCAGCCTGGCTCTTGGTAGCCCTCTCACTTCTAAGAAGTCCCATGTCGGGACTTTGAACTCACATAGTCCAAGCTGTCATCCCCACGTAGTTCTGGGGAGAATTGCATTGTCAGAGGTACCGTCCTTTGGATGAGACATTAAACCAAAGAGAATTTCTCGCAGTGTTGGGTCCAGTAACCCCCAAATAAGATTAAACATGGCTGTTTGTAGAACATTGCTGTGTGCAAATTGGGCTGCCATGTCTGCCTCAAATACACAGCCACTTCACTTTACAATATATCCTGTGAATCACTTTTGGAAGTCCTCCTGACATGAAAGGATGCTAAGCCAAATGCAAGGATTATTATCTGTTAACCCAAGGCTTTATATGATGCAAAAACTTTAAATTCAAGCGACCACAAAACTAAATGTTGTGATACGTAACGTGACTAGGTAATAAAGGTGAAACAATCTTGGGAAAACTGTGCTGCTATAATAATAATCCTTGCATTTGACATAGCACCATATCACATTGTTGATATCTCAAAGCGCTTCAAAGACTATACTGTAAAGTGAATTGACTGCATTTTGTGGATGAACTCAGCAGCCCAATTGCACCCAGCAGTGTCCCACAAAGTTGTGGATTGAGTGACTGCATTTTGTTAAAGCAATTATTACCCTTGAAAAGCAATCCAACAATCAACTAATAATAACCGGATTGTTATTTACTGCTAGGTAAACAGGTGTGTGGAGTAAGGAAACTTGCCTAAGGTTTCGCCCCACCCTGGAATCGAACCCGGATCCTCTCGTTTGCGAGGCGTTTCTTTAACAAATACCAATGAGTCATACTCAAGCTCCATAGTGCTCTGGACAGACTGCACCTGCTGAACTGCAGACATCACTCGCTGAAGCTTGCAACATGCAGTAAGTAGTGCCTACTCGATATTGGGCATTTTTATTGCTGTCCTTGTAAGAGACATTGAGCCCAGACAGTTGTGCTTCCTCTAGCTTTCCTATTGAGGATTTTTCGGGTCGGCCGGATGGGCGTCAGGTATAGAAACCCATCACCAGTCTTAAGCGTGCGTGATGAGACACTATATCAAACGTGAGCATTGTTATTAGTGTGAGCAGGGAGCCAACAAAGCTATGGTAGCAATCCCCTCACAAGCAAGGTTTGATTCCCGGGCAGGTTGAAACCTTAGGCAACGTTCCTTACTCAACACACCTCTTCACCGAGCAGAAAGTAGGCACTTTGGGGTTGTTAATCAATTAGCAGATTGCTTTCTAGGGGTAAACCTCCCTAAAGAAAAACTTTGGTCACTCAATCCACAAATGTTTGTGAGACATTACTCTGCACAATTGGCTGCTGCGTTTTGCCCACAAAATACAGTCAATCCACTTTACACTACATTCTGTGAAGCGCTTTGAGACGTCCCAACGACGTGATAAGGCGCTATCTCAAATACGAGAATTATTTATTATCATTATTTTTAAATGTTCCAGGGTAGGAGATATTTTTTTCAGAACAAAAATCCGAGAAGGAAAAGTTGGAATTTAAAGGTATAAAGTTTATTAAAGTTAAATTGTTTCAAAGATGCGATCCAACACACCTACAAAAGTATGAGCGAGTTCATGCTTTGTACAGTGGTGAAGAATGCAGTCCCAATCAATCAATCAATCAATCAAACAGAAACGACAGCACTGCCTTTTTCCGCAGCATTGCCCAGTGACGCCTGTCCACAATACCATTGTTACTCTTTTTACAAAAGTCACCGTTAAGAATTTTAAAAAAAAGTTAACAGTATTTTTTACGTAGGAGTTTGAACGCAAGTCACAATCAGACCGTAAAAGAACTCAGGTGTCACCTCGAGGCAACACAAGCACTGGTGATAGCAGGAAAGTACCCATCAGGTTGCATTTCTCGTTGAAGGAAGGGTGGGGAGGGGGTCGGGTGGGGGAGAAAGAAGTTTTCAAAGGCTTTTTGGGTGGGGGGAGGGTGGGACAGGAGGGGGGAGGGAAGAAATTCTGTTGTTAAGAGGAAACATTCAATAATGTTAACATCCCAGGATTATTAGAAATTATAAAATGGAAACCATTATGTAACTCGACTACGGAATAAACTTTGGCACACTGTGGCAATGTAAACATTTTATTTTTTAAAAAATTAATTCCCGTGTTCAGCAACAGCAGCAGTAACCTTGTACGTACGTTTGTGTTTGTTCAGTCGGCAACTTCATAACAGGAGCTTTCCACAGCTTTCTGCTTCGAATGATAGCGCTAAAAACACTGACTTGCCATTCAATGAACTCGCATCACACACACATACAAAAAAAAGTTGCTTGTTTTTTTTTCAAAAAGCAGCCTCTCACACTCCTGACTGCGCTGGACACTTTTTTTTATTGCATTGTGATCACTAAATCTTATTCAGCGTAATCCTGATAAGATTGATTTGCTAAATTAAATAAATAAAAAAAAATGGAATAAGAATCGGACAAAGTTGACACGAAGTAAGATGTACTTGGTAAGATAGGGAAACCTTACGAGGGGCAGAGAAACTGATATATAAGATGGGCTGCACTGGCTGCTGTTTATCACTTATAGCACTGATTTCTCCAATTCTTCAAAGTCTTTGAGATGGCAATGGGTAACGTCTTTAGAGGTCGTCAGCACCCTGGCTAGCATCAAGCAAGGCACAAGTCAGTCATCGCCAGGGAAATTCAGTAAAATCCTGATAACTCGACCCTGGCTTAACTTGTCGCTGACCACTTATATCAGGGTATTCCAACCTTTTGGCTGCTGAGGGCCAGATGCCGGATTTGAGGAAAGTCCATGGGCCGCACAAGCAATATTATATCCTGACTGGCCAGTCCCATCGCCTGGCAGAGCTTGGGACCCCCCACTGGTTGCCATATCCTGATTGGCTCAGGATCCTGCATTTGCTCGTTGGATAGTGAAGTTGGGAATGGTTCGTGGGCCGGATGTGGCCCAGGGGCCACCCTGACTTGACTCATCAATATCCCGGCCGCACTTATTTACGGATTTATACATATGCCTGACTCGCCACTCCTGATATCTCGCCACTCCTGATAACCCATCAATGAGCCCCCTTTCCCCTTGGAGCGATGAGTTATCAGGAGTTTACCGTAGTCAACTCTTACAAATATTGGCAAAGTTAAACAAATTCCCTCGTTTTTTTCCCCCCAGAAAAGTGCCGGCTGGAACACCAAGGAGGAAATTATTCAAATGCAATCTTTTAAACATGATTTGCAGCAATAAATATATGAAATACTTTGAATTCGCAGATGCACTACACATGTGCAATATCAATGTAAATAGTTTGGTTGTGCCTCGCAGTTACAGGTTTACATCCCAAACTTATGGAAAAGTAAGAAAAGTGCTAAGGTGATTTTGTCCCAAACCCTTAAGCAACGGGATGCAATCTCCTGTCCTCCCCTCAACAACCCCCCCACCCAACACCCCCCCACCCCAACTGTGTTTCTGCAACTTTATTATAATGTGTACTGTGTACTTGGCATTAACATAGTGAAATCATTAGCTGAAATACGGTGGGTGGGAGGAGGGGGGATGCCGTGTGCTGTGAGAAAACTGAAAAGGCAGAAATTAGTAGGTTTACTTTTGAACAGACCACCAACATGTGACTGTTTTAAGAAAACCCAAATAACATGCAATTTTGAAGGACTGCAGGACTTGGGTATTGTTTCTTTAGAACTGCAAGTGACACAGCCCACAATTCTCCTCGAAGGATTTGGGTAAGTGCAGTACATTTTCTATTAAAAAATCAGAAATCCTTCACACTTGGTTAGAACTGGAGTGGTTGCATTGTGAACGCTTTTGGCGTTGGGAGGGATGGAGGGGAAAGGGAATCAGGGTTTTGAAGAGTTTCCAGTAAAACTTGCACAAGTCTGATCTGTATTAATTGTATAATCGCCTAAGTCATACATCTGCCCAAGTCCTGTTCAAGAGTTTATATTCTATGTAAGTTAGACAAAACTCATACTTTGCATAAGTTATAAAGTAAAACTCGCATAAATCTGATCTGTGTAAATCAGATAATCGCTTAAATCGTACACCTGCCCAAGCCCCATTCAAGAGTTTACCCCCCATGCAAGTTTGACATAACTTATACTTTGCATAAGTCATATTAAATGTATGGTCCCAACTGATATGATTTATGTGAGGTTTACTGTACTCAAAGGGAGAGAAATTAATTTTGCCGAATGAATAAGGTGGTAACGATTCCATGGGAGGGTGGAGGGGGAGGGGAGGGAGAGGGATGTCATCAGTAATTCAATCCGTTAATTCAAGAAGTGGAGCGTGGAACTCTTCCAAAAGACCGAGGTATATGGTTGAACTCAAACTTGATTTAGGAATTTAAATATCGTCCACACGGAAAGGGTCAGAACGATGCTGTAAAAGGTTCGGTCCGTTACTGCTGTAAATTGAGTGTGAATTTCCACTGTTGTGAAAGAGACGAACTGCAGACTTCCACCGTCAGCCCGCCACTCCTGGCGTTCTGACTATCCAGACACAAGTTGCTGCCCACGTGTCGTAGCTTGGCATTGTTCTCAATCTGTTCCCACTTCTGTTAAAGAGATTAAAAAAAAGAATAAGATGACAATATGGTATTGAGTTATTTGTACAAGTTTATCTTCCGCATCTGACAAAACCTGCAATGCACTACTATACTGCTGGTAGTAAACTTTGTGTTAGTACTTTTTGTAAAGGATGTCTCAAAGCATTTTGCAGGATTTATTGTAAAGTGTGTGACTGTGTGTTTTGTAGGCGAAGCAAAACAGCACAAGGACTACAATAAAATTCACAAAGTCATATTAGTCGGGACTATAACATTTAATACGACTTAATGCAAAGTATGAGTTACAGGCAAACTTAAATAAGTCATATAATATCTGAATTAAACAATAATTCACACTGTGTATGCGTACTTCAATGCAGCTGGTAACTGCTCCATACATCATCTCCCGCAATTCAATGCAGTCGGTAAGTGAGGAAGCGATGTTAAAGAGTTAGGAGATGATTTGCTTAATAAAATACGACTAGTGCAAAGAAATCTAAGTGGAAACTGAATGGGACTGGGATGTATGTATGACTTAGGTGATTATATGATTTATAAATAATAATCCTTGCATCTGATATAGTGTCTTATCACGTCATTGAGACGTCTCAAAGCGCTTCACAGAATATACTGTAAAGTGAATTGACTACATATGTTTTGGAAAAGTCACGGCAGCCAAAAGGACACCGCAGTATCCCACAAACAGGTCGTGATCCACCAATCGGATTATCAACCGGATTCCAACTCACTGCTGGGTAAACAGAGGCGTGTGGAATAAGGAAAATTGTCTAAGGTTTTGCCCTGCCCGGGAATCAAACCCGGTTGTTTGCGTGTACGTGAGCGCTCTAACTAATACCCTACAGGACTCTACTTAAAGGTAAAGATAAGACTTTTGTGAGTTTTACTCTTTTTAGCGTTTTAATGGCATTGCTACCAACCTGTCTGCTGTCGTTATCTCTGCAGCCCTGCAGCTTGATAAGAGAACCAGGGATGCGATCCACAACAGTAAGGCACAAGTCCATGTGTTTGACTGATTTGTCTTTTGTTAGTGCCCATTCCTGCCGAGAAAAACAACCAGACAGGACACACATGCGTCAGAGCCAAATACATTACATTTTGCTATGGTCCTGTAAGCTGAACCTGGATTCACTGCTGTGGACTTTTAAAAATCTTCAAATTAGAATAAAGTTTCACAACAACAAAAGTTTGGAGTTATATAATACGTCTCATACAGGGTGGCGTCCCAGAGCGCTTGACAGTGGAGGAGCACGACCCCGAGCCAGGGCGGAGGGTGTAAGGAAGGTCTTCAGGCACAACCCGAAAATGGGGAAGGCGCAAGGATAGAGGAAGAGTGTTCCAGAGTTTCGGGTTGTAGTGGTTGAAAGCGGGGCTACCAATATTGGTGCGGAGGGCACAAGGGACGAGCAAGAGGCCGGAGCCAACTGAGTAGTGGGTTGGGAAGTAAGCAGCTCAGAGAGGTAAGGAGGTGCCAGGGTATAAAGGGATTTGAAGACAAGCGAGAGGTGGTGGGATCATAAACTACGGGCCCATCCAATCTCCCCTTCTTTTCCAAGGGCCTTGAAAGGGTTGTTGCTTCCTAGCTTCGCTCCTTCCTCTCCTGACACTCCCTTTACGAACCCCTCCAATCGGGTTTCCGTGCTGCCTAGTGTCATCTGACCATCTGTGACCAGGGCTCCCTCTGTCTCCTCGTCCTCCTCGTCTTCTCTGCTGCCTTCGACACTGAGGACCCCTCTATCCTGCTCCATCGCTTCTCCTCTCACCTCAACCTTCAAGGATCTGTCCTTCAATGTATGCGGATGACACCCAACTCTCCCTCTCTGCCTCCACCCTCGACTCCAGGACCGCTGAGGTCCTGACAGGAGAGGAAGGAGCCTGTCAGACATCAAGTCCTGGTTGAAAGTTAACTCTCATCTAGGACTTGATGTCTGACAGGTTCCTTTGAACGTCAGCAAGACCGAAGCTCTCCTGATTGGCTCGCGCCAGCGCCTCCACACCTCAGGCACTGGCAGCATTGCCCAACTCCATCATTGCCTCACCCCTCAGGCTGCCAAAACCTTCATACACGCATTCGTCACCTCAAGGCTCGACTATGCCAATGCTCTGCTTGTCGGCCTTCCCAACTCTTCCTCCCACAAGCTGCAGATCACCCAGAACTCTGCAGGTCTTGTCCGTGACCCCATCATACCCACCCTTGCCTGGCTAAACTGACTCCCCATTGCTCAGAGGATCAAGTTCAAAATCCTCATCCTTACCTTCCAGGCCTTTCACGGCTTTGCCCCATCCTACCTCACCGACCTGCTAACCCTTATCAATATCGACTCCTTCTGCTCAGCAGGCTTTGGCGTGTTCTATGTCTCCCGCCCAGCCCGCCCCACCATCGGCAGTGGGGCTTTCAGCCTCTCTGCCCCCACCCTCTGGAACTCCATCCCACATTCATCTTTGCCTCACTCCCTCCCTTGCCTCCTTCAAGATCCTCCTCTTCGACCGTGCCTTAGGCCACCTTTCTACCCTCCACCTTCCCTGATCCCAACCCCTCACCGCTCAGGTCCTAATTCCTGACTGTTCAGTACCTTGGGAAGTCCTCCTGACGTGAAAGACGCTTTACAAATGTAATTTTGCGTTGTATCATAGATGGCATCGATAGTAGCGTGGGTGTGAGGCCGTGGAGGGAGTTCAATGTGAGAACAAGAGTCTTGAAACCAAACCGCTGGGGGATGGGGAGCCAGTGGAGCCCAGCGAGTGATGGGGGTGATGGGCTCACAGAGGCTGGTACGGGAAAGCCTGGATACAAGGCATCAAGTCTCTGTGACGGCTCCATGGAAGCACATCCTGATGATTCCCAGCATTTACATTCTGAACTTCAGCCATACAACAAGTTGCTTTTATGTAGCGCCCCGCACGCAGGTTAGCTTCCCGGCCCGTACCTGGTTGCCTCCCGCGTTGTGGCATTCGTACACCCCCACGACCCCGTCCGCAAAGTGGCCCAGTGTGTCCAGGCAATTAGAGCCTTGCTGTAAAGCTCCAAACGCTATATCTTGATGATCAGGGACTCTGGAGGCAGATCACACCCCAATAATTATTCCAGAGCAGAATAATTTGACGGTCTACAGTTATATACACACACACACACCAACATGGGTGCACGCTTGCATACACGCGCACACCAGCATGCACACATACACACGTGTGCAGATACACGCACATAAACGTGCACACACGTGTACAACGCCACATCGAAAATGGCGTCTCTGAATTTGAGAAACGAGAGTATGGGCGTCGAACATAACAAACGGAATAAAATGTCAAAAACAAAATCAATAAGAATTATTATATATGAGTAAAGCAAATGTTTTTAAAACCATTTGGTGGATGAATAAAGACCTTAAATAAAGGTGTACACTGGTCAGTCACCACTAGGTGGCGATCTCACACGGGAACCAAAAGACAAAGGGACGGAGCGATCGAACAGAGTCGTAATTTAGTCCACTTGTAAACGAAACCAGTATTTCACGCGTCTCAGAGTGCCACATCATCTCCTTCCCTGCCCTGTCTCTCTTTCTTGCCATCACAAATACAGTAACTACACTTTGCAGTGAATCCTGTACAGCACTTTTGAGAGGTTTTAAATGCACGTATTATTAGATCATCGCACAGCAGGGTTTACTTGCGAATATTTGCGTAAACCTCACGAGCTGGACAGAGACTAACATGGAATTACAGCGTTTATATAGCATCCCTCACACAGGGTAGCGTCCCAGAGCACTTGTCAGAGACGGAGCATGATGCCGAGCCAGTAACTAGTACGTAATTAGTAACTGAATTAATTAGTAACTAGTAAACAGTTAAGAATTCCTACAGTAACAGCAGATTACAGGCGAAACTATAGCTCACCTTAACTCTGGATAAACGTTCTCTAAATACCACTTGAACGGCTTGCAGTTCAGCTTCCTTTTTAGTTCCATTCTGCTCTGAATGCTGTGCAATAATGAACAGTTAGTGTTTCAGAGCATAAAGGAAAACACCGTCCACAACTTACAAGAGCAAAAGACTAAAATAACTTCAGCAAAAATCATAGAAAAAAAATCATGTTTAAACCGTATATATCTTATTGGCTTTGCTGTTTATCGACTTGGTTGTCTTTTCTGGTCAGCCGGGTGTCTGATACACGTGGGAATCCATCAACATGCTTTAGAGTATCCAAACCAGAATTCCACACAGTGGCCTGGGATGGACACTGAGCAGAGAAGGGGGAGCTGACCATAAGCGTGGTCGAAGAGGATGGTTTTAAGATGGGATTTAAAGACAGCTAGAGGACAAGGCAGAAGGATGGAGGCAGAGGGATCCACCAGCTTAGGGGTAAGTGACTGACAGCTGATGCAGAGAGAGTGGGAGATGCACAGCAGGTTTGAGTCAGCTGAGCGGAGGGGCTGAGCACGCGAGAGGGGTACGTGGAGATTTAGGGTAAAGGTATAAAAGGATGTGTAAGGGTATAAAAGAGCAGATAACATACTTGCCAAAAGGAACGTTCCGAGCTGAAGGAACTGCCGCGTAATAGAAATTTTTGTATTCGTCCATCCAGACCTCAGCCGCCCGGCGTGTATTTCTGTTCAAATGAAATAGAAAACAAATCACATTTCTTTAAGTATTTCCGGTGCTTCCTGGGGAAGTAAATAAGAGAATGTACAGATTGCCCTCACTTTATTTATGTGACAATTTCTTAACGTTAAGATGAGAGGGAACCAAGGACTGTTAAAGACCCCAGCAATGATCAATATAAGGCTTGATTGACAGATTGGTAGATAGCCATATTGTAAAAGGAAAATAATAAATAATAATCCTCGCATTTAACATATTATGTTATATTGTCCACCTCTCCCTTTTCCCAGTCTATTTATCACTTGTCCACATCCCTCTTTTCCCAATCTCTTTATTCCATCCCAAGCCGATTTTTATTTCCCATTCTCCAAGGACATTTCCATCTCCCCAGTTCATCTAACCCCTTTTAAGGCGCTATATTATATAATATAGTGCCTTATCACGCCATTGAGACATCTCAAAGCGCTTCACAGAATATATTGTAAAGTGGACTGACTGCCCATAAAATACAGTCAATCCACTTTACAGTGTATCCCACAAAATGCAGCATCCAATTACGCAGAGTACAAGCAGTGTCCCACAAACAGTCATGGATTGAATGACTACATTTTTTACGTAAAAAGCCCTCAGTAAATGGAAGTTATTATTATTACTATTATTATCATTACTTGTATTATTATTACTATTATTATTACTTACCTTGCAAAGACAGTACCGCTGCCCCCTGGAAACGTGTATGGGTGTTGCTTGCGAAACACGTGACCTACTCGACTACAGGGGACGATTTCAAGGCTGCCACCGCATTGCCACACACGGAAAGAGATCTCTAAAAGAAAACGTTTCTACAACACATGTAATTGAACTGAACTTGTAACATGTTTCTCCTTGTCTCTCAGTCGATTTTTCCATCCCCTTATCCACTTTCCCCTTTTCCCAGTCTATTTATCCCATCCCAAGCCATTTTCATTTCCCCCTCTCCAAGGACACTTCCGTCTCCCCTGTTCATCTAACCCCTTCCCCCCATCTATTTGTCCCCGAACATACATATGGTGCATCAAAACAGTCTTGAATAAGTAATTTTTCATGAGAATATAAACTAACACATTGGATTTATGAATGAAAATGACCTGCAAGCTGCTGAAACAGTTTAGCAAAAATGATTAAACTGCGAACAGCATTAACAGGGCTTTTGATGAGAGAAACCTTTCACATCAGGATGACGTCTCGAAGCATTAAGACACTTCTGTCTGGTCACCTTAGCTGGGAGAGAGAGCTGAGGGGGGTGGGGAGGGGAAAGAATGACCGAAAGTGCAGTGAAAGAGGTAGGTCACCTTGAATAAGGGGAGCAGGAATAGACAGAAAGCTTGGTCGCTGATGGTGGGACGGGAACTCCGGGGGATATGAAGCAGACCAGTCAGTGCCCGTTGAGCGAAATGAGAAGTCAGGTCGGTAGGGTCGAAGGAGGTTGTGGAGGTAGGGTGGGCCGAGATCATGGAGGGATTGGAAGGTAAGAACAGGGATCTTTATTACTATTATTATTATAATATATCTTGCAAAGACAGTACCACTGCCCTCTTTAAGCACTCTAAGACGCTATCCTGCGTGGAGGGCGCTATATAAGTGCAAGTTGTTGTTGTAGTTGGGAACATGTACAGGTGCTGCTTGTGAAATTAATTACGGTTATAAATAATATAAGCGAAAGGAGAAGCCAGGTCAGTAGGGTTGAAGGAGTTTTAATATAATTATATTAAATATATTATACATTGAAATATATATTGATTATATTACAGGTTTCGCAAGAAGCACCTGTACAAGTTTCCAAGGGCCCGTGGTACTGTCTTTGCAAGTAATAACAACAAATAAAAATAGTATTATAACAAATCATCCAGACTCAGTTTTATGTGTTTGATATCGACAGCCAGATTCTAATTATATACAATTATAGTTTTAATATAAGCATAATTATATAATTATTTTTAATAAAATTAATTATATAATTACACTTGCATTTGATATAATCTTGAATTAGTTCAGAAATCACATACCTAGGTTTTCTCCGCCCCAGACATCCATCATCATGTCATACTTTCCGAGCTCTTCAAAGTAAGCTTTATCCATCACAAAGAGACCACCTGCTATCATGGGCGTTCTACAAAGAAAACATTATATCCGACTTTAGCCACTCTGGTTTAGACAAATAGCAATCATCTCATTTGATGCGATTTAATTTGAACATTGTTTTTACATTGTTGCTTACTGACCGACTGACTGGGAGCCTTCAACGAAGAGGCATCATGAGAACGTAAGACAGCATGGAATGAGAAAGCCACAGAGCTAAAGAAACCTACAGGGTGTTCACAAAGTCCTGTTACCCCATGTTTTTCTCCCCCCATACAGTGCACTGACCAACAACTGAAACGTGTGGAAGAATGATGCTAATCGTATTTAGAAGTATTTTGACATACTTAATTGTATTCGGTACAAGTGTTTAACTGTATTCGGGCATCCAGAGGATCGGAGTGTGTGTGTGTGTGTGTGAGCGCCATCAGTTTCATGGCAGATAATGATCCATTGCCACATCTTCTGTGTCATGGATGGCGTGACGAGCAAAATGCATCTTTGACAGCTTGTTTCAGCTCCTTCGTAGTCTCATCTCGCTGTTTTGTAACAAGGGATACGATGACTTTGTGGACACAATGTACTAGAGTAAAAGGCATTGACATTGCATTGACCCGTTACATTACTGTTAGGAATTGCTCCTCCAACGAAACCATCCATTCTGATCCAAATTCCTTGCTCTTTTCCCTGTACTTTCCAATAACAACTTGCATTTAAATAGCACTTTTCATGCAGGGTAGGGTCCCGGACCCGATTCCCAAAGGTAAACCGCACAGCAATATGCATCGACCCTAATCATAGAATCATAGAATTACACAGCGCAGGAGGCCAATCGGCCCATTGTTTCTGTGCCGGCTCTTTGAAAAGAGCTATCCAAATCAATCCCACACCCCCGTTCTCACCCCATAGCCCTGCAAACTTGTTTTTAACAAATAATTATCTATTTCCCTCTTAAAGGATTTTATCGAATCGGCTTCCATCACCCTTTCAGGCAATGCATTCCAGATCCAAACAACTCGCTGTGTGAAAAATATTCTCCTCACCTACTCTCTGTTTCTTTTAACAACTATTTTAAATCAGTGTCCTCAGGTTACCAACCCACCCACCAGTGGAAATAGTTTTTACTTGTTCAACCTATCAAACCCTCTCATAATTTTTGAAAATTTCTATTAAGCCTCCTTAACCTTCTCTGCTCCAAGGATAGTAGTCCTAGCCTCTCTAGCCTCTCCTCATAACTGAAGTCCCTCATTCCTGGTACCAACCTGGTAAATCTCCTTTGCACCCTCTCTAATGCTTTGAAGTCCTTCCTAAAGTGTGGTGCCCAGAACTGAATACAGTTCTCTAGCTGTGGCCTAACAAGTGTTTTATAAAGGTTCATCATAACTTCCTGACTTTTGTATTTTATGCCCCTATTTATAAAGCCTCGTATCCCGAATGCTTTTTTTTATTTTTTAAATAGCTTTCTCTACCTGTCCTGCCACCTTCAAAATTTTACTTATATGAAACCTCAGCTCTCTGTTCCGTCACCCAATTTAGTTTATATTGCCTCTCCTCATTCTTCCTCCCGAAATGCATCACTTTGCATTTCTCCACATTAAACTTCATCTGCCACGTGTCTGCCCATTTTATCAGTCTGTCTATGTCCTCTTGCAGTCTACTACTATCCTCCTCACCATTTACTACTCTTCCTAGCTTAGCGTCATCTGCAACCGTGGAAATTGTACTCCCTATACCCAGGTCATTTATATAGATCAAAAACTTAATCTTTAACATTCTCCTCCCCACCCACACACACCCGGCCCCCACCACAGCCACATAACCCTAAACTGCATAGAACATTGTGTGTGAATAATCTGTTCCTCTCAGTAGAATCATAGAATCGTACAGCACAAAAAGAGGCCATTCAGCCCATCGAGTCTGTGCCGGCTCTTTGAAAAGAGCAATGTAATGTCAATCCCACTCCCCAGCCCTTTCCCCATAACCCTGCAAACCCGTCCTCCTCAAATACCCATCCACCGCGTTTTTAAAAGTTGTTATCGGATTGGCCTCGACCACCCTTTCAGGCAATGCCTTCCAGATTCGAACAATTCGCCGCATGAAAAAAATTCTTCTCACCTCCCCTCTGCTTCTTTTAGAGACTATTTTAAATCTGTGACCTCGAGTCACCAACACACCCATCGGTGGAAACAGTTTTTCCTTTTCTAACCTATCAAATCCCCTAATGATTTTGAAGACCTCTATTAGGTCTCCTCGTAACCTTCTCTGCTCCAATGAGAATAATCCTAACCTCACTAGCCTTTCCTCATAATCAAGGTCCCGCATTCCTGGTACCATCCTCGTAAATCTCCTCTGCACCCTTTCCAATACCTTAACATAAGAGCAGTATTCTAACTGAGGCCTAACCAGTGTTTTATATAGGTTAATCATAACCTCCTGACTCTTGTGCTCTATGCCCTATTTATAAAGCCTAGTATCCCATATGCCCTTTTTACAGCTTTATCTACCTGTCTGCACCAATCTCTGTATGCTCCAATACTGTAGATAAAGGTAGTCATCCCAGCAAGTTACCCAGAAAAGCAACTCCAAGCCTACTACAAGAACAACAGCGCACTGACGTAGAGCGCTTCCCGCGGGGTAGTGACTCGGACGCTTAACATCCTTGACGGAATGATGGAGTTTGTCGCCAAGCCAGGGAGAGGAGGGAAGTGACCGTAGGCACGGACCACAACTACAACAAATTACATTTGTATAGCGCCTTTCATGTCGGGAGGCAACAACGCATTCCAGAACCTTGGAAAGAAAAGGGAGATTGGACATTGGAGATAGGGCGGTATTTGGAGACCCGGGATCGGCCCAGCGAAGGACTTTTGAGGATGGGGGTAAAGGTTGCTGTTTTTAAGGTGGGGAGGAGGGGTAACCGATGGAGGGTGCCAGTGGACAGGGAGAGGTTGATGGTCAAAGAGGAAGGTCTTCAGGTGCGATCTGGAGAAAGGAAGACAGCGTATACACGGTCTGGAAACAAGATGTTTATTTAAAAGTAAAACTGAGTTATCTATTGCTTTTTCAAACCCAGGTGTAGAAGGCAATGATTGCTCCTTGCCAGATATTTTGCTCTGCTGTCTCATTAGCCAGAAATGTTTTCATTTCCCTTTAACAAAGGTGTAAATTCATTTACGGTCCTTGTATTCATTTGGGAATTGTTATGGCCAAATTGCAGTGGGAAGTGACACCAAGTCATTAGAATTACAATGACGCAAAGGCAATATTGATTCCGGAGATGTATAGGAATTAAAGAGAATTTACAGATAGCCTGAGCCACTGGTAACGCAAGCCTAAGGGTCTTTGGGATTATTTCACCCATTACACAAGGAGGGCAGGTGGCCCTAGATGCATTTGTGAGCAACAACAACAATAACTTGCATTATTTAGTGCCTTTTCAATATCTATATATGCTCCCAATGATGCTTGGCAAAGAAACAGAGATGACACCCAGAGATGACATCCACTCTACCTTTCTGCCTCCACCCTCGATTCCAGGACCATTGCTGTCCTCATAGACTGCCTATAGGCCATCAAGTCCTGGATGAGAGCCAACTTCCTGCAGTTGAATGTCAACAAGACCGAGGCCCTCCTGCTTGGCTCCTGTCAGCGCTTCCATACCTTGGTCGCTGACAGCATCTCTCTCCATGGATGCACATCTCACGGAGCCAATACGAAACGTCAGTGTCCTGTTCGACGCTCAACTGTTCTTCAAACCTCACATCTGTGCCATAACCCTCTCCGCCTTTCCCCACCTCTGCAACATCGCTTGGCTCCACCACTGTCTCACACCGCTGGCTGCCGAGACCTTAACACATGCATTCATAACATCCAGACTCGACAAAGCAAGCTGCCTGCTTGTCGGCCTTGCCAACTCCTCCCTCCATAGACTGCAGATCGTCCAGAACTCTGCAGCCCATGTCCTCTCCGGGCAACAGGCTTCACGATCCTATCACCCCATCCACCCGACTCCACTGGCTTCCCATCACATAGAGGATCCTGTTCAAGATCCTGGTCGTCATTTTCAAAACCCTCCATGGCCTTGCTCCCCCGACCTCTGCGACCTCCTAACCCCCTACCATCCTGTTCGCTCCCTCCACTCAGCGGGCTCCGGCCTGCTTCACGCCCCACGCCTTGCCCGCCCCACCATTAGCGGGCGGGCTTTTAGCCACTCTGCCTCTACGCTCTAGAACTCCATACCGCAGTCCCTACCCCACACCCCCTCCCTTGCCTCCTTCAAGACCCATCTCAAGACTCTCCTCTTCAACCGTGCTTTCGATCATCCTGCTTCCCCCACTGCTCTCCACCCTCCGCAATCCCAACCCCAGCTGGGGTCCGAAGCACTAATTGTCCAGCGCCTTGGGACGAGAAAGGCGCTATACAAATGTAATTTTATTGTTGTTATTGTTATTGAATAAGGGCTAGATGAAATTACTCTCTTTACCAGATTTCCTTTATGCAGACAAAACAACATTTCATACCACTACATGTTCACATGATCAGAAATCTTTGCCAATTTTAATTTAGGTTTGTAACTTTTAATAATAACTATAATAATATATAATAACATAATAATATAATAATAGTGCCTTATCATGTCGTTGAGATGTCTCAAAGCACTTCACAGAATATATTTTGCCCACAAAGTATACAGTCAATTTCCTTTATCGTATATTCTGTGAAGCGCTTTGAGACGTCTCAACGATCTAATAAGGGACTATATCAAATGCTATATCTAATACTATTATTAATATCACCATTAGTGCCTTATCACAACACAGAGAAGTCTCAAAGCTCTTCACAGAATATATTGTAAAGTGGATTGACTGTGTATTTGGTGGGCAAAATGCAGCAGTCAATTGCGAACAGCAGTGTCCCACAAACAGTCGTGGATTGAGTGACCAACTTTTTTTCAGGGTTTTGCTGGATGCAAAGCTTTGAAATGCTCATTTTTAAAAAAAAGAGAAATCCACATCAATTCAATGTTCCAAGCTCTGTTTTACACCAAGCATTAGTACAGAATCGCTCTGTTCAGCTCAATTTCATTTTCTACTTGTGCACAACATGCAACATTTGAACATAAAGTAAATTGAGATGCCCCTACCTTTTCACACAACCCTAAATAAAAATCAAAACAGTAAATTAGGTTGCAGCACTCGAGATTTAACCAGAGATAGCTATGAAGAGAAGAGAACGTCATATTCTGAAACTGGGCTGACAACATTTTTTTAAAATGGGTGCTAAAGGATGCATCATGTAGCATGAAATGAACACAAGGAACTGATAACACGATAATAACAACAGTCCTTGCATTTGTTCTAGTGCCGTATCATGTTGTTAAGACATCTCAAAGTGCTTCACAGAATATACTGTAAAGTTAATTGATTCTATATTTTGTGGGCAAAACTTGGCAGTCAATTGGCCATAGCAGTCTTACCTTCATGCCATACATTATTAGATACACCAAATCGGTTTGCAAAACATTTTTTGCCACATCACCCACACTATCCAGTAGAAATTTTCAAACCATTTTTAAAAATAATATACATTTCCCCCAAACACATTTTTAAGTGAAAACACTCAAAACTAAGCTAGGAAATGTTTACCAGTCTGCAAATGGGCTTTCTAAACATATAGCGTTTAAATGTGGGGGAGCTAGATTTTTCTTTGGATGGCATTGCAGTAGGCAAAGGCAAATTAAGTGAAACATTTGGAGTCCACAGTAAACTCCTGATACCTTGTCGCTCCAGGGGAAAAGGGCTCAGTAACGAGTTATCCAGAGTGGCGAGTTAAGTGTATGTATAAATACATAAATAAATGCGGCTGGGATATTCACAGCGCGATGACTTAAGCGGTAATATTCCATTTGATTAATAGCTCCTTATTACATTGTTGAAACATTTCAAAGCTCTTCACAGAATATATAGTAAAGTGGATTGACGGAATTTTGTGGGAGAAATGCGGCAGCCAATTATGCACGGCTTACTTTTTGGGGTGGGAGCAGAAAGCAGTCCTCCAATTGACTAAAAGAACTAGGTCCCTACTTACTGCTAGGTAAACAGAGCTGTGTAGTGACAAGTTAAGACAGGGTTAACTATATTTATTCCTGATGAATATTAGCAGATTGCTTAGAATTTGGGTTAAATTCATTTTATAGGGTTACTCTAAGTTTACTGTATTTTTAGCCTTGTTTTAACAGCCAGCAGCATACATCATTGGCAGGGCAGGAGGGTGAAAAGAAAGACTAAGCCTAACAACTGTTTTTAATGCTGGCAGCTCTCTATAACCAGCTGTGAGTAAATCTCTGTGAAGTGCTTTGAGATGTCTCACCGACGTGATGAGGTGCTATATCAAATGCAAGGATTATTATTATGGAGGTCCTGTAGCGTATTGGTTAGAATACTTGCCTCGCAAGTGAGAGGACCTGGGTTCAATTCCCGGGCGGGGCGAAACCTTAGGCAAGTTTTCTTACTCCACATGTCTCTGTTTACCTAACATTTAGTAGGAACCCAGTTATTGTAATAATAATTAAATAATAATCTCTTCAAAAACCACCACTGTTTGTGGGACACTGCTGTGTGCAATTGGCTGCCATGTTTCTCCTGCAAAATATACAGTGGGCATTCTCAAAAAGGCGATAAGGCGCTATATCAAATGAAGGGATTATTACTAAGTCCACAAAGGTGCTTTAGGGTTGACATTGCTTTGTTGCGGAGTATTTCTCACCGCCTAAAAACAGCTGATTGAACTAAGAAACTCACTGTTCAAGAAACCTTTATCCTTGCCTTCCATAAAGAAAGAGCAATGCAATGCCAACATCCACTAGCACCAGGAACAAAACGCCTTACTTTCACAACATTGTGTATTGCAGGAACACAACACTGAATGTAGGATCACTTTCCGTACCTACCTTATAGGGCCTATTGGATTGCCTTGCCGAGCTCTCCTTTGCTCTGGAGTCATATAATCCCATTTGAAGACCAGGTTCCAATCAAATCCTGCCGTAGGAAGGGATAAGCAGTTAATAAAAGATAGGACCACTTTGAATAAAAATGAGAAAACTGCTGTAATTTGTCTGGTTCTACATTTTCAGTGATAAAAGCAACAATGATGGCTGGCAGAGAAATAGAGAAAAGGCAACCAGCCTCAACTAGTGGGCTTTCTTCCTGTTGATTCTTAATCTAAACTACAATATCTTGCAATTATAAAGTACAGAATAGCGTCTCAGGGAGCTGCACAACAGGGGGGTTGGACGCCGAACAAGGGGGAAGAGGGAGGCACGGTCGAAAAGGTTGACCTTAAAATGAGATTTAATGATAAAGAGGGGACTTGGTGGAGAGGATTCCTGGGCAGGGTGGAAACTTCGGCAAGTTTCCTTATTTTGCACGCCTCTGTTCACTTAGCAGTAAGTAGGAGCCCGGTTGTTAAGTCGATTGGCTGATCGCTTTTCCGGGGTAATAATCTCTACATACATACATACGTCCTCCTGACGTGAAAAGCGCTATATCAAATGCAAGGATTATTATTATTATTATACATACAGACATACAGACATACATACATAAATAATTTGATCACTCAATCTACGATTGTTTGTGGGACACTGCTGTGCACAATTGGCTGTTGCATTTTGCCCACAAAATACAGTCAATTCACTTTACAGAATATTCTGTGAAGCGCTTTGAGATGTTTCAGAAACATGATAAGGCGCTATGTTAAATGCAATAATTATTATTATTACTAGCTTGCAACCGAAGGATCCCATATGGAATGTAGATTTCAGTGATACCACTCGCAAGCCATTGAACATGCCATAAACACTGTGTGTACACTTTAAGCAAAACTGCCATACACGTGCAATGAGCTAGTTTGGGTCATAGCTCACGAACGATAGAAGATTCTATCAAAGGGTCATAGCTCATGAACGATAGAAGATCCTATCAAAGCTATGCCAACCGAAGGGGTTTACAACATGATCCTCGAGTTAATGCAAGGCTTCCGTGTAGAAGATATTTGCAGTTTTTCTTCCTTTGGCCATGATGTACAGGGTTTGAGATGAACCCACACGTCAGCATCCAACATAGGATTGCCCATGGGAAAATGCAGGGTGTATTCAAGAAAAGGCCAGGCTTTAAGCTTTGCCCCTGTGCCTTGTTAATTGATATGGTAAAGCACATTTGAACAGGGAATTGGAGCCGTTTGAACTCAAACGAGCAGTCACTTGGGAGCAGTGGGATGCGAGGAATGACTACATCTTCCCCTTTGAACTGACCAGTCAGAATAGTTGCTTCTAATAACATGTGGCATCAACTGCTTTACCACAGACTTTGTGCCATTGCATAGCTTTGGTGCATCTGGATTCTTTAGCAGCATGATTAAGCATCCAACCTTTAGTATGAGTTTGTGTGGAGGCATTACATGTGATTACAAAGAGTTTAAAAAAACAGTTGGGTAGTTGACAGCATTTTCTACGTCAGGAACAGTATCTATGGACTTGTACACAGTTTCTTGGCCAGGGATGTCATTGAGCAGCTGAGAATTGATCTCGCTTGCAGCCTCATTTTTTGGAGCAAGGATTGCTCGTTGACACAACCACTTATGATTTGTGTAGTTATGGGTGAGGTTTGGCTGCTATATCTTGTACAATGGTCCCACAAACTTCAAGGATCTCAAAATTTAGCCATCTCGTGGATCCACTCGAATTTTGCCATCCCCAATTTCCAGGAGGTCGGCATATGCTCCAGCTGCAAAACTGCCATGAAGGTTGACTCGCATGTTGGGGCTCATCTTCTCCTCATTCTTCTTTGTGCCTACAGCCTGGAAGCCTCAAGATTGGCATTCAGTTCATTAGCACTGGTACCACAGTGCATGACAGGTAAGGTCTGGTGGAAATCTCCTGACAAAATACGTATTATCCTTCCCATCGGTTGGGTGTTTTCCCTGATGTCCTGAAGTGTCCCATTCAGAGCCTCAAAGGCATGCTTGTGCGACATGGTGCATTCATCCCACACAATGGTATTACAGTCCTTGATCAACGTGGCTGCAGCTGTACCCTTCTTGATATTGCACACTAGATCCTCTGTATGAGAAAGATTCAATGGCAGCTTGAAGGCAGAATGGGCTGTAAGTAGAGTACCCAAAACCAGAGGATGCAACAGCAAGTGCAAAACCAGAGTCCGCAACAGCAAGTCCAACTCGGTCCCTAGACCAAATCTTGGCCAAGATGAGATTGATAAGGTATGTTTTTCCTTTACCAACAGGTGCATCAAGAAAGATAATGCCTCCTTCATCGTGGTCAACTTTGTGAAGGATACGCTGATACGCTGCAGCTTGATCTTCTGTTATGGTCAATTCTCCCTCCTGGACAAAGTGCTTCATTTCATCTTGGTTATGGTTGATTTCCTGCAAAATTTCTCTGGTCAAGTTGACATCTTCTGTTCGTCTCACACGACGCTCATGTTGGCCAACAGGTGTCTTGTCTGCATGGATGATTATTCTATATTCTTCTGCAGTCATTCTTTCCATTGCGGACTTGAAGCTCCAGACATATGTGTTACTGTGGTGAAGCATATCTTGCAGATCTAATATGAGGGCTTCCTTCAACCCCAGAACATTGTTTGCACGCTGCTTGACTTGTTCTTCTAGGTTCGTCGTGAAGTAGATCTGTAAGAATTTTGGCGACTCTTTAGGCAAAGCGGTTTAGAGATCCTAATAAGTGATACACTTGGCCTTGCACTTTAAATGTTGGCATATAGCTGGCTCTTTAATTTCTCTAGTTGCGCCAAAAGAGATCACCGGGAAGCACGAATTGTATTTCCTAAGGTTTGCTAGAAAATGCTTAGAATCACTTGAAGTGCCATCCAGCAGACCTTTCAGGGGTTCAGGTGGCTCTGGTTTCACCTTGCCAAGCGAGCAACACATGGAAGGAACTTCTTTTGCCCATTTCACGGCTCCACAGTTTTTATTATATTCCCAATATGATGGGTGCCATCTGATTTGTAGTCTCTGCTTATGCAGCTAAATGGAGTGACCTCTGCTGCTGGGTGCCATTTTGCCATGTTCCTGCATGCCTTTCGGTGTCCAAGTCCTGCCAGGCTGTTCTTTCGAGCGGGAAACTAATTTTACCGTGCTCTTGCAGTTGTTTCAGCATTCAAGTCCAGCCGGCCTGTTCTTTGTTCTTACGGCTCATTTAATCGGCCTTTGCTCTTTTGTCTGGTACTTTTATTTTTATTGTCATTGAAAGTCTTGATCTTCGCGTAGACATCTTTATCTTGTTCCCACCAATTGGCTTTGTCTGAGTGGTTGCATGGTGCGTGCATGCATACGTACGTGCTCTGTGACGCAAGATGCCATAGCGCCACTGGGAGTCGGCGCGGCCACAGGTGTAACTGTAGCGCAAAGCTGCCATAGCTCATCAACAATAGGAGATCCCTGAAAACAGATATGCCCATGACACTCCCCCTGCAAGACCTTTCCAATGAGGTACAAATCATGTCTCTTTGTCAATCATTCTTAGCGGACATACAGATACACAGACATTATGTCTTTATTAGTATAGATTAATTCATTCTGTTCCTCCTTACCTCTGTGACCTATGAACACCATATCAACCTGCCCACTTGGCGGGCACTGGCCTGCTCCATGTCCCCCACCCTGCCCGCCCCACTATTGGTGGTCGGGCCTTCAGCTTTTCTGCCCCCACCCTCTGGAACTCCATTTCGGAATCCCTCTGCCTCGGTCCTCCGTTGACTCTTTCAAGGCCCATCTCAAGACCTTCCTCTTAGGCTGTGCCTTCAGCACCGTCCAACTCCCACATCCCTCCAACCCCCACTTCCCTCCAACCCCCACTTCCTTCCAACCCCCACTTCCCTCCAACACCCACTATCCTACAAGCCCCACTACCCTCCAACCCCCACTACCCTCCACCCTTCTTAATTCCAACCCACGGCTCAGTGCAAACGCTTAACTGTCCAGCGCCCTTGGACATCCTTCCCACGTGAAAGGTGCTATATAAATGCAAGGTTTAGGGGAGATTTAATAGTGGTGTTCAAAATTATGAGGGGTTTTGATAAAGTAAATAAGGTGAAACTGTTTCCACTCGTGGGTGGGTTGGTAACCAGAGGACACAGATTTAAGATAATTGGCAAAAGAGCCAAAGGGGAGATGAAGAGAATTTTTTTTACACCGCAAGTTGTTACGATCTGGATTTCACTGCCTGAAAGGCAACAGGTGGAGTCCTGTAGCTCAGTGGTTAGAGCACTCACTTTGCAAGCGAGAGACCTGAGTTCAATTCCAGGCAGGGCGAAACCTTGGGCAAGTTTCCTTACTCCACACGCCTAATAATAATCCCTCCAAAAACCCAAAACAATAATAAATTGGTCATTTTTAATCTACGACTGTTTGTGGGACATTGCGGTGCGCAATTGGCTGCCGCGTTCGCCCATAAATATACAGTCAATTCACTTTACAGTATATTCTGTGAAGCGCTTTATAATAATAATAATAATCCTTGCATTTGATATAGCGCTTTTCACATCGGGAGGACGTCCCAAAGCGCTTCACAGAACACACTGTAAAGTGAATTGACTGTATATTTGTGGGTGAACGCGGCAGCCAATTGCGCACAGCAATGTCCCACAAACAGTCGTAGATTGAAAATGACCAATTTATTATTGTTTTGTTTTTTTGGAGGGATTATTATTAGGCGTGTGGAGTAAGGAAACTTTCCCAAGGTTTCGCCCTCTGCCTGGAATTGAACTCAGGTCTCTCGCTTGCAAAGCGAGTGCTCTAACCACTGAGCTACAGGACTCCACTTGACTCGCCCTGCTTGGAATTGGAATTGCAAGGCCATAGGGAAAGAGCGGGGGAATGGGACTAATTGGTAGCTCTTTCAAAGAGAGCTGGCACAGGTACGATGGGCTGAATGTCCTCCTTCTGTGCTGTAAGATTCTATGAATTTGCTGTTGTTCCAGTGATCTAGGCCCTTACTGAACTCTCGCTTCATCCCTGACATTTAATTCCAGGAGAAAATTGATTTTATCAGCAGGGAGAGAAGAGCAAAGGGGATCAGTGACAGATGGACTTTCAGGATCAAAGACCAGTACAACGCTTGCTCGTTTTTTAACACGTTACATACCGCCTTTCAGATCTGCAGATGCACCCACGTATTGGAAGTTATCCATGTTGATCACATCAATTATCGGAGAAACCACTTTTGTCCTGTCCTGTAGAGAGGAAACAGAAAATAAAACACAATGCAATAGTTGTCTGTTCTCCTTCCAGCTGAGTTTCCAGGAACTGAGGTAAGGGAGGCATAGGAACATTCAACCTTTCAAGATTGTTCCGGTATTCTATTAGATCATGACTAATCTGTACCTCAAATCCATTTTCCCGACTTTGCTCCATATCGCTTGATATCCTGACCTAACAAAACTCTATCCACCTCAGTCTTGAAAATTTGAATGTATCCAACACCCACAGCCTTTTGGGGGAGAGAATTCCATATTTCCACTACCACTTGTGTGAAAAAGCGCTTCCTGATTTCACTCCTAAATGTCCTAGCTCTAATTTTAAGAGTATGCCCCCTTGTTCTGGATTCCACCACCAGAGGAAATAGTTTCTTTGTATTTACCCTATCAAATATAATAATATACATCCATAATAATATAATAATAATAATCCTTGAATTTGACATAGTGCCTTATCAAGTCACTGAGACGTTCAAAACGCTTCACAAGAGTATACTACAAAGTGAATTGACTGTATATTTTGTGATAGAAGCGCAGCAGCCAATTGCGCACAGCAGCTTCTCACAAACAGTTGTGGATTGAGTGCCCTTTTTTTTAATAAGCGATTATTATCCACGGAAAGCGATTTGCCAATCGACTAGGGTTCCTACTTACTGCTAAGTAAACAGAGGTGTATGGAGTAAGAGAACTTGCCTAAAGTTTCGGTATGGCCAGGAATTGAACCCAGGTCCTCTTGTTTGCGAGGCGAACGCTCTAACCAATAAGCTACAGGATTCCATACATATATAGATGTATATAATATAATAAATGTTACAATGTGCAGAAGATCACACTTCATAAGCACCCCGATAAGATTCGAGCTCTGCTTACCTCGACCACCCTCTCCAGGAGGGGCTCCAACCAGTGCTCGTTGCATTCACAATGACTATCAAGGAAGGTTAGTATCTCTGCTTGTGCGGCATCAGCTCCTCGGACACGTGAACGCATTAGCCCTGCGCACGGAAAGAGGGTCGCAGGGTAAGTCTCTGGCAACAAGGCCGAAGCAGACACGTCCAAATGTTGCACTTAACCCTCCACATACCTTCGCGCCTGTTGTTCCGAAGGATTCGAACTTTCTCTATTTTTGACAACAAAGTACCATCTTCAGCTGCAAATTTAATTCAGATTTTAATTGACTTGTTTTNAAAAAAAACCTAGACTGTAAATACAGCTAAATACATGTGAAAGTCACTCTTACTTACGGTTGTCACTATAGTCATCAACTAAAATAATCTCTTTGATGAGATGCGGGGTGCTTTTTCTAAGCACACTGAAATTCAGAGACAAAAAGCGAAGCATTATTCACACATAAAATTAAAAACACGCACGCGGTTGTTACAACGACCCAAGGCACTTGATCGCCCTGGCTTGGCACCCGAGCTTGGGGTGGGAGCTGAGAGGGTGGGGAGGGAAAAAGTGACCGAAGGTGCAGTCAAAGGGGAAAGTCTCGAGACGGACCTTGAAAGAAAAGAGGGAGGGAGTTGGAGGGACTCCAGGACAGAGTTCCAGAGAGTGGGGACAGATGGGCTGAAAGCCTGACCACCGATGGCGTAGGTAGTGGTCAGGTCGGTGCTCATTGAGCAAAGGGAGAGGCCATGTCTGTACAGTTTGAGGAGGTCGCAGAAGTAGAGGTTGGGGCGAGACCGTGGAGGGATTTGAAGGTAATTTGATTTGTAATTCCATTTGGACACACATATGTAATAACAATAACAAGATTACATTTGTATAGCGCCTTTCACGTCGGGAGGACGTCCCAAGGGGCTGGACAGAGTACAGACCCGAGCTGGGGTTGGGGGGTTGCCGATGGCATGGTCGAAGAGGAGGGTCTTGAATCGGAACTTGAAGGAGGCTAAGGAGGGGGCGAGGTGGAGGGACTGGGGGATGGAATTCCAGAGATTGGGGGCAGAGTGGCTGAAGGCTCTCCCGCCAATGGTGGGGCGGGTGGGTCGGGGGACGTGGAGCAGGCCAGAGCGGGCTGAGAGGAGGGAACGGGCGGGTTGGTAGGGGATTAGGAGGTCACAGAGGTAGGGTGGGGCGAGGCCATGGAGGGCTTTGTATATGAGGACCAGGATCTTGAACTGGATCCTCTGAAGGATAGGGAGTCAGTGGAGTCGGGTGAGAGTGGGGGAGATGGGGTCATGGAGTTTGTGCGGGAGAGGACACGGGCTCCAGAGTTCTGGATTATCTGCAGCCTGTGGAGGGAGGAGTTGGGAAGGCCGACAAGCAGGGAATTTGCATAGTGGCAGCTGGAGGTGATGAAGGCATGAACAAGAGTTTCAGTGGCCTGAGGGGTGAGGTAGTGGCGGAGTCGGGCGATGTTACGGAGGTGAGAGAAAGCAGAGCGGGTCATGGCTTGAATGTGGGGGAGAAAAGACAGTTGAGGGTCGAACAAGACACCTGGGTTCCTGGCTGGTTTGGTGAGTTGTAGTGTGCAACGGTGGAGGTTGATGCTGCCAGAGCCTGAGGTGCTGAGGCGCTGGCGCGAGCCAATCAGGAGGGCCTCAGTCTTGTTCACATTCAACTGTAGGTAATTTGCCCTCATCCAGGACTTGATGTCCGACAGGCAGTCTGTCAGGACAGCAGTGGTCCTGGAGTTGAGGGTAGAGGCACAAAGTTAGAGTTGGCTGTCATCTGCATACATGTGGAAGTTGACCCCATGTCTGCGGATGATGTCACCAAGGGGGAGCATATAGATATTAAAGAGAAGAGGGCCAAGGACAGAGTCCTGGGGGACGCCAGATGTGACAGAGCGAGTGCTGGAGGGGAAACCGTTAGAAGCAACGAAGTGGAGATGGTGAGAGAGACAGAAATCGAACCAGACAAGGGCAGGTCCATGAAGATTGAGTAAAGCGGAGAGGCGGTGTACGAGGATGGAGCGGTCGACAGTGTCGAAGGCAGCAAAGAGGTCAAGGAGGACAAGGAGGCAGAAGGAGCCCTGATCACAGATGTTCAGAATGTTATTAGTGACTTTGACCAGGGCTGTTTCCATGCTGTGGGCAGTGCAGAAGCCGGATTGGAGGGGTTCAAAGAGGGAATGGTGAGAGAGAAAGGAGCGGAGCTGAGACTCGACGACTCGTTCCAGGACCTTGGAGAGGAATGGGAGGTTAGAGATGGGGTGGTAGTTGGAGAGGAGGGATGGATCCAGGGAAAGTTTTTTCAGGATAGGGATAATGACGGCTGTTTTTAGTGGGGTGGGAACTGAACCGGTGGACAGGGAGAGGTTGATGACATTGGACAGGAGAGGGGCCAGAAGGTGGAGCTGGGAGACGAGGAGAGAGGTGGGGATGGGATCAAGGGAGCAGGTAGTGGGTTTGAGTTTGCGGACAGTCGTGGTGAGGGAGGAGGGAGAGATAGGGTCAAAGAAGTATGGGGGGATGGGGGGGGTTGGGTCATGAGGGAGAGGTGATGTGGGGGTGGCTGTGGACGGGGCTGAGGTGGCTAAACGTATCCCCTCGATTTTAGATCCAAGGAAGTCCAGCATCTCCTCACAGTTGGAGTTTGAGGAGAGGATGGGCGAGGTATGGTAAAGTGGACGGAGGAGACGGTTAGTGGTGGAAAAGCTGGGGGTTGTCCTTTGCCTCTACGATAACCTTGGAGTAGAAGGAGAATTTGGCGGAGGCAAGCGGTAGATCTTGGTGCGGTGAAGCCAAATCTGCCGATGGACCGTTAGTTTGGATTTGGTCCAGGCGCATTCGTTCGGCAGCTCGCACTTGTGCCTTAAGAGAACGGAGATGGCTGGTGTACCAGGGGGATTTACGGGAGTATGAGGCAGTTTGGGAAGTGAGGGGGGCAAGGGAGTCCAGGGTGGAGGAGACGGAGTTGTGGAGAAAGGAGAGTGAGGAGAGGAGATCGGTCAGTGAGGGCCAGAGGTGTAGGAGTCCAGATGACTCCAGGGCAGTGAAGAGGAGCAAATTTTTTTTCTTTTTTAAACAAATGAAACACGCAGTGTCCTGTTGACCCTGCACACCAGAGCCCCAACAGGTAAGATGGTGCTAGCTGGACAAACAGCACAAGGCTTGCCACACAGTTTTCGTTGTCTAATCTCATATAATACCCCAACGCACATTATGATATCCCGGATGATATCCCGGACCTAATACTTTCCAAGACGAGCAGGATGTGACGATCCGGGGAGAGATTGCGCACTCCGCTCCAGACAAACCCAATCCATGCACTAGTGGGACTCGGTTTGTATACTCGTAAGCCATGGACATAAAGGCCACCTGCAAGCCAAAGTCTTAATGGGTAGAACGGTGCCAGCTGGAATTTTGTTTGGTCAGTCGGGTGTCTTGCGTCCCACCTACACATGGAAATTCCAGCGATAGATTGTTGGAATGGAACGTGCACTCTCTCCCTGGAGGGTTGTATCCTAATTACCTAATTCCGAAAAGTATTAGGCGCAGGTTGGCAAGAGCCAAGGTTTGGGGATCCCAGATTGTGCGTTGGGGTAACTGCTGGAGTCTAACCAGCTAAAAATGCACAGCTTGCCATTGATAGCACTGTCCAGCAATGGCAAACTTTCCTGCTGCTTGTCCAACTAGGACTACCCTGCCCGATAGCTGGGCAATAACAGGAAGCTGGCCAGACAGTGTTTGCTCAATAAAATCCAGAAATATCCCAAAGTGCATTCTGCTTCTGTATGTGTCAGGCGCCAGTTTTACCAACAATAAGAAGTGATATCATCCACATACTAGAAATTACTTCCAAGCAGTTTTACCTGACCACAGTGCGAAGTAGTGCAGATCTGGCTTCATTGTGGAAAGTGATGACTACACTGGTCCCCGGTAACTCACTGCTCCACTGTTTCCTTCGGCATCTGTCAGAGAGAGCAGCACATGCTGGGAGCAAAGGCAGTGAGTGTCTTTTATCATAATAATAATAATAATCCTTGCATTTGATATTGCACCTTATCACGTCTTTGAGACTCTCAAGGTGTTTCACAGAATGTATTTTAAAATGCATTTACTGTGTATTTTGTGTAAAACACGGCAGCCAATTGCACAGCAGTGTTGCACTAAGTTATAGGATTGAGTGACCCAAAAAAAATTGGAAAAAGGAATTTTATCCCCCAGAAAGTGATCTGCCAATCGACTAACAACCGGGTTCCTACTTACTGCTAGATAAGTATGGAGTAAGGCAACTTGCCTAAGGTTTCGCCCTGACCAGGAATTAAACACGGGTCCTTTCACTTGCGAGGCGAGTACTCTAACCGCTATACTACGGGATTCCATGCGTACAAAACATGCAATGTCCTATTAACCCTGCACACCAAGGCCCTAATGGATACGATGGTGCTAGTGGGATGCACTTTTAATTGCAGGATTCACTCTACCCAGTCGATTTGTGGATCACTTTCAGGGGTTATAATTCCTTCAAAAAAAGAATAATTCGGTCACCCAATCCAGAACTGTTTGTGGGACACTGCTTTGCGCAATCGGCTGCCGCGTCTCGCCCACAAAATATAGTCAATCCACTTTACAGTATATTCTGTGAAGCGCTTTCAGATGTCTCAACTATGTGATGAGGAGCTGTAACAAATGGAAAGATTATTATTATTATTGTTGCACAACGTTACTTTGGAAACTATCTGGAACAAACATTTCAAAGCAACAAACTGGCACATTAAGTGCCTCTGAACAAAGACTGCAGGATTACACAGCTACGAGTTTCACTGCAGCAGAATGTCAGATAACAGAAATCCATTCACAAGGCATTACTGCAAACAGGATGCATTGAGCAGCAGAGCTTATAACAATAATTACTGTTGTGTCAGCCTGGCCCAGTGGGTAGCACTCACGCCTCTGAGCCAGAAGGTTGTCAGAAAGTTCTGGGTTCAAGCCCCACGTCGGGACTTGGAATCACATAGTTTAAGTTGACTCTATAATGCAGCGATGGGGGGTATTGCATTGTCGGAGGTGCTGTCCTTCGGATGAGATGTTAAACCGAAATCACGTCTGCCTGGTCAAGGTGGATGTTAAAGATCCCATGGCACTATTCACAGAAGAAGAGAGTCTTTCCTGGTGTCCTGGCCAACAATCCCCCAAATAAAATTGGTCACTCACTGTTTGTGGGACGTAGCTGTGCACAACTGCCTGCCGTGTTTCGCCACAAAATACACAGTCACTCTACTTTACAGTATATTCTACAAAGCACTTTGATATGTCTCAGTGGCATGACAAGGCGCTCTGTATCAAATGCAAGGTAAATGCTGTAAAGTTTAGCACCTTTACTTGTAGGCAAACATAGTTTGTGGTCATAGGAGGGAGGGAGCAAAGTGGCTGCTGTGTTTGCCTGCAAAATAAATCACTACTCTTGACACCATTTACTGTAAAAGTTGTTTTGGCATAAGTCCTATAACAACATTCAGTTTGTTCTTGAGGAACAGGTGGATATTTCACATTCAAATCTGATAAGATGGCCAGGCTGGGCGCTTGCATTTTGTGGAAAGAGCCCTCACGGCTGTCGGTGTTGGTGGTGGAACAAAGACTTCACCGAGGAATGTTTACAACAGATTTGAATGTACACGTAGTTAAGCATGACTTGCACTCTACAACTTCAGACCGTCACTCCCAGCCTGTCAAGGTGTGCGTGGGATCTTCCTGATATTGTGTAATTCAGGGTGGCACCTTGTCAAATGCTTTCTAAAAGCTTATTCAAATCACCTAATCCTCTGTATATGCCACAAGGAGTGGAACGACAGCAAGGTTCAAGTTTCATGTTCATTTACTGAAGTCACGTCAGTGCTGACCTCCACGATGATGTGAATGACCAATTTTACATATGGGAAGGTGGGTGGGGAGATGGTCCGGGTCCCCTTTCAACTGAGCCAGACTGATGGATGTCTTCAACGTGTTGCCAAACTATCATTGAACTGGCAATGCTATGGTAGCACAGACTGTCTTAATAGCTCTGAACCACAACTTGCCATTTCCTGATTTCCCAATTTTACAAACAGAATAACCGCTTAACTTGTTGGTTTGGAGCCTCCCCACCCCACCCGCCCCAAAAAGGTTTTCTGTACAACACAAACAAGTATTGTATTACATTCTGATGTTAGAGAGGTTTCTACTTACTGATCATGCCTGGTATCTGGAATATTTCTATCCATTTGCAGTTTGTCGCTTTCCATTTGATTAAACTTGTTGCGTGCGTATGGATCTTGTCCAGCCTTTACCATAGTTGCTCCAATATACCCTTCCTGATCAAAGTGCTCCCACCTCACTTTCCCTGTGGTAAAAGACACACGCTATTACTTTCTCCCAAAGCCAAGATTCCCTCGTACACAACCTGAGAGAGATTTTTGCAGTTCAATAGCATATAGAACTGTGCATTCAATCCTTTCGAGTACACTTTAGGATCCACCGTCCTCTCTTACCCGGAGGTAACGTTTCCATACTTTGTGCTTCTTTCACATCGCCGCCGTGAGGATTTTTCCTTTTATTTGCATCTATGGAATTCTGGTCGTCCTACAAAACACAAGCAGTAAATTGACCCTTGTGGCTGGAAAAATTAATTAGCACACATTCAATGTCAGCGTTTAGAGTACAGTACAACCTTAACGAAAAATAATAATCTACACATTTGATACAGCATCTATCATGTCGGGAGGACGTCTCGGGGAACAATAAATCACAGGATTTATTGTAAACTGTAGTGACTGTGTATTTTGTAGGTGAATCCAGCAGCCAATCTGCATTGCCTCTCAACCAGCCTTCGGGTGAATAGTTAGCCAGGACACTAGGAGAAACGTCCTCCACTTTTCGAGTAGTGCCATGGGATCTTTAACATTAATAATCCTTGCGTTTGACATAGCACCTTATCACGTCTTACTGTAAAGTGAATTGACTGCATATGTGTGGGCCAATTGTACACAGCAGTGTCCCCCAAACAGTCATGGATTGAGTGACCAAACTATCATTGTTTTTTTTTGAAGGATTATTATTCCCGGAAAAGCGATCCACCAGTCGACCAACAACCAGGTTCCTGCTTACTGCAGGGTAAACAGAGGCGTGTGGAGTTAGGAAACTTGCTCAACATTTCGCCCTTCTGGGAAATGAACCCGGATCTCTCGCTTGCAAGGCAAGTGCTCTAACCGAGCTACGGGACTCCACGCTCACCTGAACAGCCACAGACGGGGCTTTGGTTTAATGTCTCATCCCGAGGGACAATGCAACACATCTTCAGCACTGCATTGGAGAGTCTGACAAGACTTGTGGGTTCAAAGTCCTGACATGGGGCTCGAATCCACAGCCTTCTGCCTCAGAGGAGAGCGTGCTTAATTGAGGCAGGCGGACACCCAAATTCATGGACTCTATGTGTGTTCCATAATCACAATAACACAAAGTCTCTGTATTGCATATTACACATAATAATGAATGCCTGAGGACTGCAAACTGTATCAATAATGTGATATATTCAGAAAAACCTAAAAGGTCATATCTAAGTTCAACTTCATTGACAATAGAGCAAGAATAAACATAAAGCAATAGTGTTTTTAATTCCAAACTAAACAAATGAATCTTCTCTAATCATCTTTAGCTTAATCCTCCTTTAAGATGTTCGTTCAGAAGCTGTATTCAATTCGGATGCCGTTCACGAAAGATTGAATGACAACCAGAAAGATGGCCTCCAGATGCGAGACGCCTTATTTATCGCTTCTTAAAATCAGACCAAACCAGCTCCGAAAGGAAGTTACATTCTTTGAGGGAATACCCAGCTCCACTGGCCTCCCATCCCTCAGAGCATAAGAGTTCAAAATCCTCTTCCTTGCTTTCAAATCCCTCCACCATCTTTCTCCTCCCTATTTCTGTGACCTGCTAACACCATATAGAAGTCTCCGGTCTGCTTCATGTTCCCCGCCCTGCCTGCCTCACCATCGGCGGCCGAGCTTTCAGCCTTTTTGCTCCCACCTTTTGGAGCTCCATCCCTTCGCCTCACTCCCCTCCCTTGCTTGCTTCAAGGCCCGTCCCAAGAACTTCATTTAATCTTTGCATTTGATACAGCGTCTAAAACATATAACTTACAACAATAATCTATAACAAGTATTAGGCACAGGTTGGCAAAAGCCAACGCTTGGGGACCTGAGAGTGTGCGTTGGGGTGACTACTGGCCTCTAACCAGATAAAACCGCATAGTTTGCCATTGGTGTCACGGTCTGGTAAACTTTCCTGCTGCTTGTCCAGCTAGGACCACCCTATCCGTTAGGGCTTTGACTTGCAGGGTTAACAGGAGCTGAGTGGGAGGATTCTCTGCCCCCAGTGACTGGTCAGGAACCATTGGTAGATGCACAGACAGAGTTGGGTGTCCTTGCCTACGAGTGGTGTCACCAAGGGGGAGAATATGGACAGTGAAAAGAAGAGGACCAAGAAGGCACCCTACAGGTGACAGGTGGGGGGAAGGCACGGGACGAGAACACGCAGCTCCCTGACACATCACTGAGTTTTTCTTTTATCTCCATGTCAATCAAAATGAGATAAGTCTGATCCAACAGGACCAACGCCGATCAGAAATAAGCAGCAATACAGCAGCTTAACTCGGATGAAGACTTGGTTCAGACACAAGTGGAATTAACATCATCCAGTTCTTCAAAGTGTCCCATCAGGGCCAAATAAAGTCGAGTCGTTTTTGTTTGGGATTTACAGTCAGTTGAACCGGAGTCAAAATAAACATCGTAAGTATAAAAACACATCGTAAGTGGTAAGGAGAGAATTATTCGGGTTCAGCTTCTTAACTATTGAAGACTATTTAAATTAATCTCCCGGGTTTTTCAGCAGTACACGAATGCGGTTTAATCCTGTAATGCCATTAGGGGTTGAATTTTGAGAAGCTTTAAGCTGCAACATTACAGAGTTAAGGCAGCGGTGGATAATGTCATCCCCAAAATAATGATTTCATCCCACATCAATAAAATGTGATCCCACAAAAACATTTACAAACAGAATTTTCCACCAATGAAGGGGTTGTTCAACTGTCTCTGCTTCTACCCTCAACTTCCGCTACTGTTCTGGTGGATTGAATGTCAGACATCAAGTACGGGATGAGAGCTAACTTTCTCCAGGTTGAACTTCAACTTTCCTACCCCCACTCTCCCCCTACCCTCCTGATCCCATTCCCCAGCTCGGGTGCAAATCCTTAGCTTGGGTCCGAACCCCTGCCTGTCCAGCACTTTGGCACATCCTCCCAATTTGAAAGGCGCTATACAAATGTAATTTGTTGTAATTGTTGCTAAATGGATATCCTTTGACAGAGAGGGTGAGGTTGAGGACTCCTGGGGGATAAAAGATAGGTGTGTGTCTCAGTGATGGTTTGTCCGATGATGGATGGATCTGGGGGGGGAGAGAAGAGTCCTAGTAACAGGAGATGGGTTACAGTGAGGGGGAAATGTCCTGGTGATGGGATATCTCCAGTGATGACACGCTAAAGTGTGAAGGAGTCTCAGGGTTGGAGGTTCTCCGAGTCTCGTTTTTGGAGTAAGGTGTTAAGGTACAGGGAGGGTGGGCTGTGTATTGGGGAGTAACGGGGGCGGGGGGTGTATCTCTCAGTTCAAGTGGGGGACGTCTCTCAGTATCAACTTGAGAGGGGGGGGGGGGGTGAGTCTCAGTGCTGGGAGGTGACTCAATCCATTACTGTTTGTGGGACACTGCTGTGGCTTAGTACTCAGAATGAGAATGAGTGCAGGTGTCTCAGCAGAGAAATGGGTCTCTCATTCTGTTGGTGGTGGGGAGAAGGAGGGCGGAAAGAGTCTCAGTACTGGGGTCTCTCATTGTAGCTGGGGGGGTGTCTCTCACTACTGGGGTGCCTAAGAGATAATAATAATAATCCTTGCATTTGATATAGCGCCTTATGAAGACTTCAAGATGTCTCAAAGCGCTTCACAGAATATACAGCAGTGTCCCACAAACAGTAGTGGATTGAGTCACCAAATTATCATTATTATTTTTTAAGGGATTTTTACCCGAGGAAAAGCAATCCGCCAATCGACTAACAAGTGGGTTCCTACTTACTGCAAACAGAGGCATGTGTGTGGAATAAGGAAACTTGTTCAATACTGAGAGGCCTGGGCAAGGGGTTGTTTCAGAACGGAGTGGAGGGGGAAGGCGTGGACCCAGTACCCGGGGGGTGTAGGCAGAGTTTCAGTACCCAGGGGGACTAGATGGGGGCCCAGTACCCTGGGGGGCTGTAACCCATGTACTGAGATCCCAGTGGGTGGGGGGTATATCGGAACGAGATGTGGCGGGTGTCTTAGAACAGGGGAGGGGGGCTTAGAACAGGGGGAGGGGGGGCTTAGAACAGGGGGAGGGGGGGCTTAGAACAGGGGGAGGGGGGCTTAGAACAGGGGGAGGGGGGGCTTAGAACAGGGGAGGGGGGCTTAGAACAGGGGAGGGGGGGCTTAGAACAGGGGGAGGGGGGGCTTAGAACAGGGAGAGGGGGGGCTTAGAACAGGGGGAGGGGGGCTTAGAACAGGGGGGCTTAGAACAGGGGGGGGGCTCTTAGAACAGGGGGAGGGGGGGCTTAGAACAGGGAGGGGGGCTTAGACAGGGGAGGGGGGCTTAGAACAGGGGAGGGGGGGCTTAGAACAGGGGAGGGGGGCTTAGAACAGGGGGAGGGGGGCTTAGAACGGGGAGGGGGGCTTAGAACAGGGGAGGGGGGCTTAGAACAGGGGGAGGGGGTAGAACAGGGGAGGGGGGGCTTAGAACAGGGGGAGGGGGGGCTTAGAACAGGGGGGGGGGAGGGGGGGGCTTAGAACAGGGGAGGGGGGCTTAGAACAGGGGGAGGGGGCTTAGAACAGGGGGAGGGGGGGCTTAGAACAGGGGGAGGGGGGGCTTAGAACAGGGGAGGGGGGGCTTAGAACAGGGGAGAGGGGGGGCTTAGAACAGGGGGGAGGGGGGGCTTAGAACAGGGGGAGGGGGGCTTAGAACAGGGGGGCTCTTAGAACAGGGGGAGGGGGGGGGGCTTAGAACAGGGGGAGGGGGGCTTAGAACAGGGGGGGAGGGGGGCTTAGAACAGGGGGAGGGGGGCTCTTAGAACAGGGGAGGGGGGCTCTTAGAACAGGGGGAGGGGGGGCTTAGAACAGGGGAGGGGGGCTTAGAACAGGGGAGGGGGCTTAGAACAGGGGGGGGGTCTTAGAACAGGGGAGGGGGGCTTAGAACAGGGAGAGGGGGCTCTTAGAACAGGGGAGGGGGGCTCTTAGAACAGGGGGAGGGGGGGCTCTTAGAACAGGGGAGGGGGGCTTAGAACAGGGGGAGGGGGGGCTTAGAACAGGGGAGGGGGGCTTAGAACAGGGGGAGGGGGGGCTTAGAACAGGGGAGGGGGGCTTAGAACAGGGGGAGGGCTTAGAACAGGGGAGGGGGGTCTTAGAACAGGGGGAGGGGGGAAAGGGGACCTTGAATACCAGTGTCTCAGTGTGTGCTGAAGGGGTAAGGTCCCCTTATTATTATTATTATTATTATAAGGTCAGTACTGGGGGGGGGTCAATACTGGGGGGGGGGTCAGTACTGGGGGGGTCAGTACTGGGGGGGGTCAGTACTGAGGGGGTTCAGTACTGGGGGGTTCAGTACTGAAAGGGGGTCAGTATTGGGGGGGTCAGTATTGGGGGGGTCAGTACTGGGGGGGTTCAGTACTGGGGGGTTCAGTACTGGGGGGGCAGTACTGGTGGGGGGGCAGTACTGAGAAGGAGGTCAGTACTGAGGGAGGGGGGTCAGTACTGGGGGGGGTCAGTACTGAGTGGGGGGGTCAGTACTGAGGGGGGTCAGTACTGGGCGGGGTCAGTACTGAGGGGGGGTCAGTACTCAGGGGGTGGGTCAGTACTGGGGGGGGGATCAGTACTGGGGGGGGGGGGTCAGGGTGAAGGAGGCGAGGGGTTGTTTCAGGGGTGAGTTGTCCTGGGGTGGGGTCATTAACAGCTCTCTCAATGGTGCCCGGGGGGGGGGGGGGTCAGTGTCAGTACCCGGGGGGGGGGGGGTCAGTGTCAGTACCCGGGGGGGGGGGGTCAGTGTCAGTACCCGGGGGGGGGGGGGGTCAGTGTCAGTACCCGGGGGGGGGGGGGGTCAGTGTCAGTACCCGGGGGGGGGGGGGGGTCAGTGTCAGTACCCGGGGGGGGGGGTCAGTGTCAGTACCCGGGGGGGGGGGGGTCAGTGTCAGTACCCGGGGGGGGGGGGGGTCAGTGTCAGTACCCGGGGGGGGGGGTCAGTGTCAGTACCCGGGGGGGGGGGGGGGTCAGTGTCAGTACCCGGGGGGGGGGGGGGGCTGGAGCTCCTGTGCTGAGTTACCGGCTCCCTGGTGTTTACGCTGCCCCCCCCCCCCCCAACCCCCCGGTTGCAGTGGCAGCGGCAGCCCGAGGCCTAGCGTCCAGGCTCCGGGGCACCTGCCAACTCCAGGCCGCTGTTTCCAGTTGAGTGTGAGTGGTGTGTGGGGGGAGGGGAGGGGGGGGGACTGTGTTTGGGTAAGGACGGGCAGTACAGAGAGAGGCCTTTACCTTGCGGCCCGCGCCGCTGCCCGAGTAGATGTAATAGGCGATGCCCAGTACCCAGAGCAGAGCGAAGCACAGCAGCGCCCGCGACTTCCTCCTCATCCTGACCACAGTGTGTCACTGACTGGGTCGGAAACGCCGTCTGACCGACCGACCGACCGACCGACCTACCGCGAGACACTTCCGGTCTGACTGACTGAGCCCAAGTCCTGGTGATGATGAGGATGGTGGTGGTGGTGATGATGGTGATGAGGATGAGGATGGTGGTGGTGGTGATGATGATGATCGTGATGATGATGATGGTAGTGATGATGATGGTGGTGGTGGTGATGATGATGATGATGCTGATGATGATGATGATGGTGGTGATAATGATGGTGATGATGGTGGGTGATGATGATGGTGGTGATGATGATGATGATGATGGTGGTGATAATGATGATGGTGATGATGGTGGATGATGATGATGATGATGGTGGTGATAATGATGATGATGATGGTGGGTGATGATGATGATGGTGGTGGTGGTGGTCCCAGCCTGTGGCTCGGTCGGTCACTCGCCGACACACCGCACCACACCACCGGGCTCCGGGGTTTGTGGGTTTGCCGTCTTCCCGGGGTCGGACACGTAGTATAATAATAATAATAATAATAACCTTTGCATTCGTTGCAGCGCCTCATCACGTCGTCAGGATATCTCGAAGCGCTTCGCGGGATGCACTGTGAAGCCGAGCCATCGTGTATTTTTGTCAGCCCAAAAAAAAGCTGCCAATTTGCGCACAGCAGCGTCCCGCACGTAGCCACGGCCGACTTTGTTTGGGGGATTGTTGGTTAGGACATCGGGAGAGAGAAACTCCCTTCTCTGTTTGAATAGTGCCGCGGGATCTTTAACGTCCACCCGAACAGACAGTGGGGACCTCGGTTTAATGTCTCGTCCGAAGGACAGCGTTTCTGATAATGCAGTGCTCACCCAGCACCCCATTGGAGCGTCAGCTTAGACTACGTGATTCCAAGTCCCAACCAAGTCTGGGGTTTGAAACCACAACCTTCTGACTCACAGGTGAGAGTGCCATTACTGCGCCAGGCTAACATACATGAGCTCGTACAGTCTATCTCGGCTGATGCTCGGGTGGAAATCACAACAGAAGTCGCGCCTCAAAATCATGTCGTTGACACGTCTCAAAGAGCTTCGCAGGATTTTTACCGTTAAGCGTTCTTTCCGGCTGTGCATTTCACAGACGAATGTGGCATCACCTTTGCACAAATCAAATGTCCCACAGTCGGCCGTGAAGTGAATAACTTTATTGGAGGGAATGTTGGCATCTGAAGAAATTTCCTTCTCTTCTCGCCGCAGGATCTTTAACGTCCACTTGAACAAGGTAGATGGGACGTGGGCTTGACGTCTCACCCGAACGATGGCACCTCCAACATTGCAGCACTCCCCCAACACTTATCCTTGGAATATCAGTTTCGACTGGGCTTTCAGTTCCATACTCTAGACCAGTGATGGCCAGCAAAATACATTTTCTTGATTAAATATTTCTTGATGTATGCCATAACTCAAATCAAGAAAAATACTGAAAACACAATACTGATCGAACACAGACTTACACAGACCCACATGAATGTTCAGGGGGCTTCTTGGGAATTTGGTGCAGAGGCATAAAGAGATGCATAATTATGAAATATATAATAGTTATATTAAAATAATAAAACATGTCTAGGAATATGGCAGGGCAGGTGAGACGGTTGCATTCCCATGTGGGAACTCTAGGATGAAATCCCATGAGTATGTCACTCACAAACCGGTTCTCTGTACTGATACCAGTCAGGGTGATAACATCTCTGGGAAGGGGAGTCAAAAGCGAAAGGATGCATAGGGGGACACAGGGAAGAGTGTCAATGCAGTTATCATTGGGGACACAATGGTGAAAGTAGACAGCCGTTTCTGCAAATCAACGATGTGACTCACATGGTATGTTGCCTCCCTGGTGCCAGGGTTGAAGACATCACAGAACGGGTGCAAAACACTTTCAGGGGGAAGGGAACATCCAGAAGTCGTGGTCCATGTTGGGATCTAAGGCAAAGAGGTCATGTCATGGACTTCCTTACCTCTAAAATTGACAACATCCACCTGGCAGCTTCATCCCTCAGGCCCGTGTCGCCTTCCACGACCCATTCCATCTCCCTCACCCACCTCGCTCCTACCACGGCCCCCATCCTACATTCATTTGCCCCCATCTCTCTTTCCTCTCCCACCATCACCACAATGAAACCCACCACCTGCTAACTTGACCCCCTCCCCACCCAACTGCTGATCACTCAGCTCCCCCTCCTCTGCCCACTGCTGGCAGATACTGTTCACCATTCTGTCTTCTCAGGATCAGTCCCACTCACCCTAAATACCGCAGTCATCAACCCCCTCCTTAAAAAAACCTACCCACGAGCCTTCCAACCTCAGCCATTACTGCCCTATCTCAAACCTGCCCTTCCTCGCCAAAGCTCTGGAACACGTTGTTGTCATCCAATTTCGCGCACAATTCTCCCACACCCTACTCAAACCCTTCCAGTCCGGTTTCTGCCGTGCCTGCAGCACAGAAACAGCGCTTGTGAAGGTCACAAATGATGTCCTCTCTATCTGTAACCAGGGCTCCCTCTGCTTCTTCGTCCTCCTGGACCTCTCTGCCGTGTTCAACACAGTCGATCGCGCCATCCTCCTCCACGTCTGTCCTCCATCATCCACCTCAGTGGAACCGCACTTGCTTTGTTCAAGTCCTACCTTACAAACTGCCAGGACTACATTTGTGCAAATGGCTTTTCTTCGCGCTTCCACCCAGTCACCTGCAGGGTACCCCAAGGATCCTTCCTTGGTCCCCTTCTCTTCTTCATCTATATGTTCCCTCTCAGTGATGTTATTCACAGACACAGGGTTAACTTCCACATGTATGCGGATGACACTCAACTCTACTTTTCCACCTCCAGCTGCAATCCCCAGTCCCCCGATGTTCTGTCAGCATGTCTGTCGAACATCAGGAGCTGGACGAGCTGCAATGTCAACAAAGCGGAAGCCATACTGTTTGGCTCCCGCCGACATCTTCTGTTCCATGGTTCTGACCTCCTCAACCTACCCACCCTGTCCTTAAAACTCTCTGAACCCATGCACAACTTAGGTGTCTCACAGACATCATCAACCTGTCCCTCTCCTCTGGCTCTGTTCCCATTCCCCTAAAAACTGCCACCATCACTCCCACTTTGAAAAAACCCTCCCTTGATGCATCGCAGCTATCAAGCTACCGGCCCATCTCCAACCTCCCCTCCAAGGTCTTTGAAAGAATCGTCACCTCCCAGCTGCGCTCTTTCCTCTCCACCCATTCATTATTCAAACCCCTCCAGTCGGGTTTCCGTGCCCTGGTCAAGGTCACTAATGACATCTTGACCATCTGCGACCAGGGCTCCCTCTGCCTCCTCGTCCTCCTCGACCTATCGGCCGCATTCGATACGGTCGACCACGCTATCCTCCTCCCTTGTCCTCCCACCTCAACCTTCAAGGCCCTGTCCTTGAGTGGTTTAGGTCGTACCTCTCCCACCATCTTCATTTTGTTTCCACAAACGGCTTTTCCTCCAGCCCCCGCACTGTCTCGTGCGGTGTCCCTCAGGGCTCTGTCCTCGTTCCCCTCCTCTTCACCTTCTCTATGCTCCCCCTTGGTGCCATCATCCGCAGACATGGGGTTAACTTCCACATGTATGCGGATGACACCCAACTCTACCTTTCCTCCTCTACCCTCAACTCCACGACCACCGATGTCCTGACAGCTGCCTGTCTGACATCGAGTCCTGGACGAGAGACAACTTTCTTCAGCTCAACGTGCGCAAAACTGAGGCCCTCCTGATTGGCTCACGTCAGCGCCTCCGCACCTCAGGCGCTGACAGCATCAGCATCCAAGGCCGCACTCTCCACCTCTCAAAGCCGGTCAGGAACCTCGGCGTTCTGTTCGACCCTGAGCTGTCCTTCCTCATATCCGCGCCACAACTGGCACCGCCTTCCATCACCTCCGGAATATCGCCAGACTTCGGCACTACCTCACCCCTCACGCTGCTGAAACTCTGGTCCACTCCTTTATCACCTCAAGGCTGGACTATGGGAACTCTCTCCTCGCCGGCCTTCCCGGCACCTCCCTCCACATTGCAGGTCATTCAGAACTCTGCAGCTCGTGTACTGTCCCGCACCAGCCTTCGCGACCACATCACTCCCACCCTCGCTCGCCTCCACTGGCTCCCCATCCCCCAGAGGATCGAATTCAAGATCCTCATCCTCACCTACAATGCCATTCAAAGCCTTGCTCCTTCCTACTTCTCCGACCTATCCCACTTACCTGCCCGTACCCTCCGTTCCTCTGGCTCTCGTCTGCTCCACATCTCCCGCCCCAACCGCCCTACCATCGGTGGCCGGGCCTTCAGCCTCTCAGCCCCGAGGCTCTGGAACTCTATCCCCCAGTGCCTTCGCCGCCTCCTCCCTTTCCTCCTTCAAGGCCGGTCTCAAGACCTTTCTCTTCGACCGTGCCTTCAGCTCCCCTCTCGACTCTCTTCCCCCTCCTCGCTCCCTCTCTTCCCTCCCCTCACCCTGACAATTTCTCCCCTGCTCGGGTCCCAACCCAACTGTCCAGCGCCTTGGGACGTCCTCCCGACGTTAAAGGCACTCTATAAATGAAATGTTGTTGTTGTTGTCAGGTTCAATCCCAGGTTATCTTTCCTCCTCCATATCCGGTCCCTTCCAGCAGACCGGATATGGAGGAGGAAGGATAACCTGGGATCCCTTTCAGGAATGAGGGACGTCAGTTATGAGGAGAGGCTAGAGAAGCTAGGATTATTCTCCTAGGAGCAGGGAAGTTTAAGTGGAGACTTAATAGAAGTTTTCAAAATTATGAGGGGATTCGATAGGGTGAACAAGAAGAAACTATTTCCACTGGCGGGTGGGTCGGTAACCCGAGGACACTGATTTAAAATAGTTACTAAAAGAAACAGAGGGGAGATGAAGATAAATTTTTTCACGCAACGAGTTGTTCGGCTCTGGAATGCATTGCTTGCAAGGGTGGTGGAAGCCAATTTGACAACAACTTTTAAGAGAGAAGATAATATTTGGGGAGGACAAGTTTGCAGGGCTATAGGGAGAGCGCGGGGGAGTGGGATTGATT